CATAGGTATCCTAGAGTAAGTAAACAGATGTAGTTAATGAAATCCTGAAATTTACATTTTGTGATTAGAACTCCAATCCCTCGACTTTAATGTCTTCTGCATCTTTTAGATAAAGAAATTATTGTTGGCTAAATGATTAGATAGATGTTATTAGATTATTATCCAAACTTAAAAATAGTGAATCCCCCCCCCATAATATAATGTCAGGAGAAACATCTCACCTTTCTACTTCTTATTGAATACCTGTCAAATCATTAGTATCTCTCATCTCTATCAGTCTATGTGAAAAAGGAAGATGAATAAAACTGAGATTTAGTGTTGAACATCACAATTATATAAATCAAGTAAAAAACACTTTATCAAGTCAATAGCAATAATAGACAAACTTAAGATAGAAATTATTTGAAAAAATAGAAAAGTGACATCTCTTAAAATTATTGTTATATATTCTAATTCGTTCAAAATATCAAATATAGTGCTATATCTACTATATTTTTTGCTAAGCTCATTAGGTTAATTATTTTATAATAAGAAAAAATGATTAGTAATACGTAGATTATTTAGATAAAGCATCGCATATAGGGAGTGGCATTTTAAAACACAAAATAAATAGAAATAAAATGATATTCAAAAAATAATTTATGTAGTATTTAAGATTGACTTAACAAAAAAATATTACAGTCATTTTTTTTTTTTAAGATAAAATATAAGAGACTAAGTTAATATTTACATACAATTACATTTAATTATCATATGTAGTTAATAGAGAAGATTGAAAATATATTTCAATTATATTAAGAATGAAAAATAGGTACATTCTATGTTTATTCCTGTAAACACAGAAGGTATCTAAATGGTTATTTGTGCAAATATGTTAAAAATTAAAGAGAATTTTTAAAAAGTTTCAAATTTGAATATAAAATTAAAATTATCAAAAGGGAAAGAGAATATCTATAAATTTAATCAGATTCATTGTAATCGAAATTTCTCGCCACACTAAATTTTATTTTTAACTATAAACAAATAACTTTATGCTTAAAAAAAATGGTTATTCTGTTTAGTTAAAGTTATTTTCTGTATATGCAGATATTCATGATGGATTTTCCATAAAACTTTATTTGTTATTGAAACATAGTTTAAAAGAATTCTACGAAGTTTCTATCTAATAATTGATATATTATAGATAAATAAATTAAGAAAGGATATTTATATGTCAATAACATTCAAAGAAATAGCAATTTTTAAGTGTAAAAAGATTAAATTATTGATTTAATTGTCATATTCAATAAATAATCCTAGTCCGCTTTAACATCTCAAAAAACTCTTAGTATTTTCTTTGCCCTAAAGTTCTTTAGAAGGAACAAAAAAGATTATCGATAAATTGTAAATAATAGAATAACAATTATGGAGAACAAAAGTACAAATCTCCCCCTTTAGGTTAACATGAATTAATAAGTTGAGTTTATTGGCAAAAAAACTTGAACAAATATCAAAAGCTTTTGAATACTTAAAACGAATTAAGAACAAAAATGATTAAGAAAGCGATTTAAAATTAATATTTCAGATAATTTTGCAAATTATCATTAACTAAATTTTACAATGGAAATAATAATATCTAGAAAATACCATATAAAATTATTGGGGGTTATGTGAAAATGAATTATGAATAGTAATTAGACCCATTCCAAAAAACCCATGAAAATTGCCATATAGAATAAAATTTTAAGAAGATGAAAAGATCTTTTATTATAATGATGTAAGCTAATATTTAGGAGAATAGATAGACAATTGGAGATATCTCTATAGAGTTTTGGAATAGAAAAGTAATGATTTATGATACAAGAATTACTGAAATAAATCTGAAAGATGATCGGAAAAAATAAACTCATGAGTTTCAAACTTATAGTATTCAAATGAGGATTATTTCAAAATATAAATCTAAATACAATTGCTTAAAGGATTTCCCTATTTATGATGAAATAAAATTTAGCAATGTGAATAAATTGATGTAAATAACAAAGAAATTAATATTTATATTATAATATAAATAATTGTTTTATGTGGCTAGTCAATAATATAGTTATATAAATTTAGTATCAATAGTTTTATAGAAAAAGAAAAATTATAGAAAACATTAAAATTTAAAAAAAGTTGTTTTAGTTTTTGTGCTAAAAATTATTGAGAGATTGTGAAGTTTAATGATTGAAACAAGTATTATAAAGAAGACATATATTTGAGATAAGATAACATTATGAACAAAGGGAAATAAAAAGAAGAGAGAAATTAACTCTATGGAAGTGAAATAATGAAAATTATATAGTGAATTTATATAACATAAATTAAATAAAGATATATTTATTTTTAAAATGGTAATGAATATCACAATTAATCATGGTAGGGAGTCGACGCATATAAAAAGACAAGAGTATAAAGAAATGTAGGAAGAAAAGTAACATCAACTAACCTCTATTTGAAATTATTGATAAAGGTAATAATGAATGAATTAATCATAGTTATATAAATTCTTAGCCAGAAGAACAGATTCCAATTTCAATGCAACAGTTTTAAGAAGACTTTAATAAACCAGAACTGCTAGATATCCAATTAGTGTAAGCAGACTTGTCAAATAAATTAATACTGCTAAAGATAAGTCAAGAACATTAGTTGTTGTTGGCACTGTTACAGATGAGTAAGGATATCTATCATGCCTTTAGCGTACGACTTCTTACTGTCCCTAAACTTAACATTTGTGCACTTAGATTCACTGAAACAGCCAGAAAGAGAATTCTTGCAGCTGGTGGAAAAACATTGACATTCGATCAATTAGCACAATAAAATCCAACAGGTATGATAATATATGAATTATTTTAAGGCACAGGAACAATATTATTGAGAGGACCAAGAGTGAGAGAAGAATTAAAACATTTCGGCAGAGCAGCAGGTCTACCAGGATCTCATGCTAAGCCATATGTTAGCCACACTGCAAGAAGAGGAAAGGGTGCAAGATGATTGTTTAAAGTACATTAATAAATAAAAATTATAAAATATTTGTCCAGGTTGATAATAAATAATTTTTGATGTTTTTTACAAAATATGTTTATTTCCCCTCACTCTAAGAGAGAGGATGATATTATTTTGAATCTAAGTATTAAAATATTTAATAATTGCTTAGAATTCATTAAATGATATTTCTATCTAATTAATAGCCTTATAAAAATCTAAATTAATCATTTAATTAATATATTTATGATCGATATCATATTGAAAATTGAATATTTGATCCACCAACTGACGAATGAACAAATTTATTCTTATTATTTTTAGAAATGACTTGAAATTAATGTAAAAATAGGTATTATTCTGATATTAAAGATTTAATTTTTTTTAAATACATGAGTACTTTTAAACTTTCAAATCATTGGATTCTTTCTTCTATCTTAGTTTCTCATCTAATTTTTTAATAATGAATTTAAGAAACAATAATAGATTTGTTTTTAATTTTTAGAGAAGACTAACCCAATTATTTAGCAATGGGAGATGAAACCTTTATGCTGTATCAACTTCAGAATTTGCTATTTTATATTCAACTTTAATATTTAATCAGAAAACAAAATAACCAAGTGAAAATATAAGATGCAACTCTTCCACATGAAAACTTTAGTAATAGGCTTGAAAGATTTTGGTTTATTTAAGAGATACTGTTTAGGATTCAAATATTAAGTAATTTTCCAATTTGTCAGTGAGTATGTAATTAAATTAAAATGAAAGAGTTTGGTGGATTTGTCTAAAGTAATATAATTTATGGAAGGATTAAAACATTGTTATAATAAAAAAGAGCTAGGATTAAAACAATAGAAAATAACAATTTTTCTTATAAGATCATCAAGCATTTGCATGATTATAAATATCTACAAAAATTATGATCATTATTAATCATAACATTATGGTTATCACAAATACTCTCTAAGATTATTATAAGTTTAGAATTCTAACTATTGCATGCATAAATATAAAGATATCCTATGTGAAATCTTATTATTTGTTTGTAAATTCCTCATCTAATGCTGATAAGGGCCTATGAGCTGATATTAGTTCACCATTGTTTTACTCAAGCACAACTTCTGAATTTTTATTCCTAAATTTCCTTCCATAATACATAAGTACAGATCTAATTTTACTACTAATTTCATTTTATCCTTCCTTATGCAAGTGTGAATTTATTATTTTACATATGTATACAACATTTGTAATTTTGTAAATTCTAAATTGAAACTTAGCATCTCATTTATATAAATATATAATAAATTTTCTCATAAATGATAATCATTCTAAAGCTATTATTTTTCTTTGTATCTAGTAGTATACTAATGCACAAATGAATAGTAGTTATATTCCTAAAGCAAGGTAAAAGTACCAATATCTAATATTGAACATCTTTGGAGTCTAATATAATCCAACAAGTTATTCTTTTTTGTTGAAAATAGAGATAAACTATTTCATAAATGGGTCTCCTAGAATATTAGTTGATTTTGCTTAACCAATGCACATTGAACATGATCCATTATATAAATATCTTTTATAAGCAGTATCAGGTACAGTTACCTTAGCACCCTCAAAAAAGAATGTAAGATTGGGATACACTTTATTGCAATCACAGTCTAAATTACAATTAAGATAATCATTGTAAATTTTGTTATAGACATTTTGTTCTAATAATAAACAAGTAGTTCCTGAATCAAAGATACTACTATGATCATCAAAGTATATGTATTCATCCTCATTAATTTGAACTCCCAAAATTTCGGTTGACTAATTTTAGTAGAGAAGGATACCCACATTTTTTTCATGTTAGTTTTAATCCAAATAGTCTGGTCAAGGACAGATTAATTAAATTGGCCATAAAATAATTAGGATCCGCTAGTGGAATTCAAGAACTAGAATCCAAATAGAGGAGACTGAATTTAGCCATTTGAATATGCGGATTCAAAGATATTGGTATGCTCATCCCAATTAGATAACCCCATAATACCTGATGTTGTTTTTTATAACTTTAATATGCATATAGATGTACAGATAAATTAGAGACTTGATTTGCCAATAGGAAGGTGAGGTTTGTATTAATTGGTGTATCAGCAATTGAAAATAACTCTTGTCCAAATTAGCCTGAACATTCTCCTTACCCATAGGTTTATGTATAAGTTTAATTAAAATCTATATATGTTTATGACAGATATGGTTTATATCGATTGAGGATAGAACAATTATCACATGTGTAATTTGCCAACCACAATATCTTCATTATTTATAATTCTTTACGCTAGAGCCAGTATCAACAAGGAGTTCTATTAATTATAATGGAGTTCCAATTCTCAGAGTCAAAGCATAGTACTCATTGTCAAAGTTGTGTAGATTGATGCCTTCATATTAGCTAATAAAATTGGATTATTGGAGGGTTTTGGTTAGTAGGAATGAATTGGAAGCAATCTTTTCCGAAATTACATTAAAGAAAGAGTAGAGTATAATTAAATATTACCCAAACATTTTATATAATATAAATGATATCAATCGTCTATTTCATTTAAATAATTCGATTTAAGCTCCACATTAATGTCTTCTTTTTCTTAATCAATAACTTAGACTGTCACTGAATCATTCATGAAAGGCTAATTTAGAAATATCAATTACTTTGACTTATTTCAATTAGTTTCTAGCATTTTCCTTTTTCACCTAAATTTTCTTCTAGAGTTTTGCTACTATTTGTTTGGCATCCTGATCTCCTAACAAAACAAGCTTTTCACTATCCTTTAAGGCTTCCTTCCATTTTCCTAGTTCTTAAAGAACTGTCGATCTTCTTAGCAATGATTTTTAATGGTTGCTATTCAAACTTAATGCTTTGTTACAATCTAATAAAGCTTGATTGTAATCAAGTAATTTTAATTAGCATTGAGCTCGATTCGAATAAATTATTACTAATTATTCTAATTCTTCCTCATTTAAGGACTATTTCTAATTTAATTCTTAAATGCAATCAGTGTATTTTTCAATGGCTTTTTAAAATTCTTATAGCTTAAATAATTCATTGGCTTGCTCTTTATTTAGAATCACTTGCGACTTAATTACGTTTCTACCACCTTTTATTACTATTTTATTATTAATATTTGTTTGTTAGGGTTTTTTGTAAACATCCATTACTATGGGATCGTCAGATTCTTCTAGCAATTTATCCACATCCACTTTATTCCAAGCATCATAATAATTTTACACTGAATTCTAATCTCTTTTCAATTATTTCTTTAATATTTCAGATTGCTTCTCCTATTCAACTTTGCCTCTTATTGGCACTGAGTTTGGATCTATTTGTTAATTTTATTTTTTTTATGGCTTTTAAGCTGTGTTCACTGACTCTTCCCAATCATAGAGATCGTGTATATATTCTTTGATTTCCAATGCATTATTCTTAATTTACTATTGAAGTTGAATCGACATTATATTATTATTATTAATAATAAAATTAAAAAATTATCTGCAATGATGACAATGATTATGTTTAACATAATCAGAACGGATATATGATTCAATATGAATTAAAATCACTACTGAGCTGTCAATATATATATTAATTATATGTTATTTATCAATTGAATTGTGGTACTTTAAACAATCCACAGATTTCAATTGAAATCCTATAAAATATGATTTAATATGGCATACCTATTATTATATGATATTACACCCAACACTTCTAAATATCAATTTATTATACTAAATGACTTACAAAATATTAGTGTCATTTTGTATTATATTTGAATATATATATTTAAATAAAGTTAAAATGTTCATAAAAATATATATTAATTTTAATGATTATTTGTTAATATACTATTTTATTAATGTAAACATGTTCATTAGGATGTCTTTTTCAACTCCTCTAATTCAAATGCCTTCTTTATTGCTTCTTATTGATGTCTTGATTTGATTCCTACTTGTCCTCCACCGATGGTTCTCAATAATTCATGGTTTTCATTGTAATGTTATCTTAAGTCTCTTGCCTTGCGATATTAAGAAATATTACTAGATTATCGAATTCAGCTTAATCTTCCTTTCTAACTTCAGTCAAAGCAACACAAGTGGCTGTTTTTTAATGAACCAAAGTTCCTAATCTTGCTTTATCTAAAGATTTATATATTAATAAATATTACTTTTGATAAAACAGAATGGAACTTCTTGTCTTCTACACAATTGTGGTAACCAGACAACAAGTTCAATTGGGTCAACATCATAGGCAATAACTACGAGTTTAGCCTTTTTAGTTTCTACAAGTGTGGTGACATGGTTTAATCCAAATTTGAGTACTTAGACCTTCTTAGAGTCTGTCTTTTAGGCTTATGCTTTTTATTCAGCTAATTTGGTTAATCTTTATTTTTTTTCAGTTTTGGTTTCTGGTGAATATTTCTTCAATAGACCCAATACTTTAGATGCTTTAATATAGTAATAAAATTTACATTGATTTTTATCAAGTGTTCTGCTGAATTAATGAATAGCAGCTGGGACTTTGATTCTTTGTAATAAGATCTTTTTTTATCTGTGAAGTAGGATATATCTTGGCCATCTGACATATCTTGATAAATCTCTCTTTGGTTGAACATCGTTTCCAATTCTAAAGTTTTTAGCATCCTTAACAAAGAGGGGGTTCTTTTTTCTATCAGCTACTTTTTTCTGTATTTTTTTGGCTTTACTGGTTTTGGGTGCTTTAGGCTAGAGATTACTACAGATTAATTACCATTGAATATCTTTTTAAATTAAATAATATTTATATAGTATAATCACATATTTGTCATTTTCTTTTCTTGAGTATGTAGAGTTCTTAACTGTGCATTAATTTGAGGTTGTCAATTTCCTTCTAAAATTTGGATTGCTAACTTTAGATTCCTTCTTATAGTTATTAGATAACACTGTTGAGTTCTTATCTATTATGTAGGAGAGTGAATTTACATTTCATTTTGATAATTGTTCTCTAATTTGTCATTTTCGTAATTCAAAAGTTTGATTTCTTCTGTTAAAGAGTTGATCTTCTATTGAAATATGAGAGATTGTTTTTCGTAATGATCTTGCAATTCAACTGATTGTTGTTTTAGAGCATCAATTTCCTAGCGATATTGGTTAATTTGTGTTAAGGAGTTGGCATCCAATTAATTAAACTTTTCTAGAGTAATAAGAAATGACAACATTGAGCTTATATTTCGATTAATTCTTGGGCTTCGGCTTTGAGTTAGCAGAGTCTCATCATATTATTTTCAAATGTTATCATAATTTTATAATAATTCAATTTATAGAGTGGATTTAGTGTGAAAATAAAAACCAATTTAAATTAATAATGGATAACAATAAGCTAAGAAACTCTGGATACTAAATATCTGACCGAGTCCAATTCGGAGGTGTATTTGAACCAGAGAAATGCAAATAAATAGCGAAATAAGTGATGGATTTATATGATTCCAATAAAGACGGGTTTATTGAATAAAATGAAATCGCCATGATGTTATCAGATGCCTACCGAGCAATGAACAAAGGGTTCAATCCTACCTCTTAAGATGTTTCCAATTGCCAATCCATTTTAGACAGTATTTGACTTTATTGAAATTGATGATTAGGAAAATCCACAGGAAGAGTCCACAGTGAAGACATAGAACAATTAGTATAGAAGTATTTCTCTGGATAACCCCCTGCTCAGCCAGTCAAAAGAGTTCCAGAGAAGTTGTCCAGAATTGCATAGGAAAGATTGGAAGTGGCCAGGAGAATCTTTAAGTTCGTTGACAAAGACGGTTCAGGTTTCTTAACTGAAGAAGAGGTAACCAATCTTTTACATTCTTAGGTCCCTGAGTTATTAAAGGAAACCTATAAACACATGGGCATGAATGATTATCAACCGACCAAAGAGGATGTGGTCATCTGGATCCAAATGACTGACTCGGATGGAGATGGGAAAGTGACTCTTGAAGATTATGAATAACTTGTTTTGGATTCCTTGAGAAAACAAGGCATCAGTTTAGAATGATTGTTATATCATTTTAACATCATTTTATAATATTATGCTTAACTGTTTATGAATTTGATTGAAATATATAAATTCTGAATTCAAAGCAACAATTACACAGGACTAATTATTGAAGGTGCTTCTAGATAGCTATTTATATATTTGTTTAGTTTCAATTTTCTTTTTTATTGAAATCCTTTCATTTTTCGACATTCAGCATATAATTCCTATTGAGAGTAATTGCATTCTTCTAAGAATTATCTCATTTCGAATTCCTTAAAGAAATTCTCCAGATCTAATGATCTCTTTGGAATTGATTTATAACTAAACTCTGGTAAACTAGCTATCTAAATTGACATTATTTATTCGATGTTTCTGTTAAAAATTTAATTATTAATTCTTTACATTATCAACTAATAAAGTGATTCCAAATCAATTATTATTCTAACACTATCTTTTCGATATCAAAATACAATCTTAATTCTTATAAATAATACATCTTAATTAATGTACAAATTTTCGCACAAAATAATTATAAAGTTTATGTTTTTTGAACTTAATAGAAATAAATAAAATTAAAGATTATTATAGTAGAGATGGCTTTCTATGGTGAAACTGAGCATTTTGATGAAATTTAAAATGAATCTGAGGGTATTAAGAGCGATGAATAGAACAAAGAGATAGAGAATGACTGTGAAATAATTATTACTCAAAATAATTAATAGAATTACAACGATTCTGAGGTTCAATAATCCGAAACAAATATTGAGAATGTGAATCAAAATAACGATAAAAATTGTAATTATCTGGAGGAAGAATAAAAATAGTTGAATTAAGATAAAGAATATGCAGATTAGTTACAACAAGCAGATTTGTTATAACATGTAGATTAGTTAGATGATTAACAACTCATTAATCTATGTCCAGTTATTTTATATGATATGGGAGTGATATTTGATGATTTAGAATTGTTAGGGCATCAAACATGTAATGAATTTCCAGATTGTTAATTTTGTGAGAAATTAATATCCCTTTGCTAATATCAATCTCATCTGAAGCGAGTTCACTCAGATTTCATTTGCCTTATTTGTGGACTTGTTGATCGAAATATTACAAATTAAAATCATAGATTATAGTGTTTTCAATAAAGGGAATTTGGATTTGATGATGCTATGAACTAAAAATTAGACGCTATTGAGCATCTAAAATAATGTGATCCAGTTCAATAATGATCCTTTGCATTTATATCTATTTATATATTAATCACAATTTTTTTGATTTTTAATCCAAATATTGACTAAATTTATTAGCATTTATTTATCCCAATGCCAAACAAGGTAAAAATACACATGCAATTTAAGCTGTAAATTATGGAAATAATGAAAATGCAGGTCCAGGACATAATCCACCAATTCCCCAACCTATTCCAAAGATGCTTGCACCTAGTAATAACTTATAATCAATCTTCTTGTTTGTTGGTAAATCCCACTTCTCGGCTAAGATAGGTTTATCAAGTAAATTAAATGTAATTAAATTGAGAGACACAGCACCCAACATAACAAACATCAATGAAGCTACAATATACAAATATATTTAATACGATCCCAACTCTTATTGAATGTTAAAAACCCTAGAATCTTTGATCTTTTAGCCATTCCAGAAATAACTAATCCAGATCCAAACACTAGTCCTACAACAGATGAAATTATTGCATCAATCATTGTTTTCTTGTTTTATTTAGTTTAACCAATAATACCAACTAAAGTTAAAATCTTAAATAAATTAATATTATTATATTACTCCACTAATAACCATAGCTGCGGTATTAGTAATATTTGCATTATCGATGAGTAATTAAGTTGGTTATTCCAACACAACTTAATCTTTTAGAGTGGCTGTCAAAATTCCAAATGTCATAAATGATGCTACTGCAGCCATTGATCTCACTGATAATCGTGGTAAACCACAAACTCCATGACCACTTGTACAACCATTCCCTAATTTTGTACCAAACCCAACCAAGAATCCTGCTATTGCAGCTCCTATGTAGCCAATTTTAGATATTTGATTGATTGGATCAAAACTTGGAGATGCTCCTTCTAAAATAGGAGTGAATCTATTCTTGATATATTGTATACCCTTAATATTTAAATAACAATGAAGATGATAGAACAACACTAGACATTAAGGATAATTTCCAATAGAAACTATTTTTGTCGAATGTTATCAGACTATAAAATATACCACTGAATCCTGTAACTCTCCCCTTCAATAAGTAGTGAATTGATGTAGCCAGTCCTATCAGCAATCCGCCTGCAGCAGCCAAATAAATATCCTTTAAATTCAGAATCATTAAAAATTTTAATAATATCTTATTTCTTAATGTCTTTAATATTTTTTTTAATTAATATAACTATGGGGGGGTGTAATAGTTCTATAGCTCCTAAGGATTTTGCAGAAACCTAAGCTACGAAGTATTCTCTTTTTGAAATTATTTCAGATAAATGTGTCACCACTGTAAAAAACATGATTTCAACCTATTGAAATTAGCTTGTGAACATCATTATCATGAGATTTGCCTGATCTCTAAAAAAATGGATTCGAATAAATGTATTTGTGGGAAGGATATTGGTTAATTAAATAAGATTAATGAGCAGGTTCATCGATTATTTTTAACATACTAAGCTCAAATGATAGTGTAGTTGAATTAGAATAAATTATAGATAAACGAGACAAAATAATAGCAATTTTTTCGTTGTCCTAAAAAAGGGTGTTCCTTTTATTTTATTTAGGATTAGAAGCCATAATAGGGTTAATTACAAGAATACTTTTGTGATTAGTGTAATTGCAAGCTTTAATATGACCTATTGAAAAGTGATTTTAGTAATGCTAAGAGTGATGCATCAACAATTCAACCACCAAAAGGTGATTAGACTAATGTTAAAAGTGATGCAGTAAAAATTCAACCACAAGTACCTCCATAATAAAGTACAAAGATCAAACCAGATTATCTATTTCAATTGCATAAAATCATTGAAGCTAAACAATAACCTTTTAAATTTTGCAGGAATGATTGTGGATTCATGTATATAGAAAATAATTCTTACAATATTGGCAATAGTCTCTGTGAAAATTGCGATTTCTGTCATAAATGCTATAGATTACTTTTCTCAGATTTTATTAGCCTGAAAAAATGCAAGCATAAGTTTCACTTGTTATGTGCAAATTCAGTTATAAATCCTGATAAATTAGAATCATTAAATTGTGATTGTGGAGAACCTATAGACGATGAAGATATCAAAATTGAGTTTAACATAAGTTGTATGATTTGCGGAAAATTTGATAAAAATTTAAAGAGACTTGATTGCCAACATTACATCCACTTAGATTGTATTTAGGATAATTCATTCTAATTTAGCGATTTTTTATGTTTCATTTGTAAAATACCAATTCTTGAATTTTTAAAAAGCTCTAAACATTAAAAAATTCACAATCAAATAAAAAAAAATAATATTGAAAAGTTGCTTGTATAAATTGAAAATGATTGTTTCATATGTTACAATAAGTCTGAAGAACATCTTTATGCCACTTAATGCAATCACAAGGTTCATTTATCTTGTTTAGAAAGTAGAAAAAAAGAAATAAAAGACAAGTAGTAATTACTAAAATGTAGTTGTGGATAATATATTAAAGATATATAACAAAAAATAGAATGATTTATAATAAATCTATTAGTATTTACTAAAAAAATGTTTCTTTTGTTAATCCATTAATAATATATATTACATATACTATTTATTATTATTTAATAATAACTAACTAAAAATTATGTTCTAAAAGAAACTACACTAAAAAACCTAATCAACTGAATTGTCTAATCAGGCACTAATGAATTATTTATCTACTAGAGAAGCTGTAAATGCTAGAATCTCTAATTCTCCAACATTTCAATTTGAGTTAAAAGTATAATTTTGTGTACACAAATAAGAAATAAATAGCTCCTCAATCAAGTCCTTAGTTGAAATCAAATAGTTCTTAACCAAACTTAAAATTATCATCATAATAGTAATTAAACACATAATCTAGGTAAAACTTAATAAAATTATAACAATAAAATGTGTTCTAATCAAAAGGGTTCATGTCGCCTAAAGTAATCAGTTAAGAAAGGTTGAATCAGAAAGTATAAGTGAAAAGTAATGCAAATCACATGAAAACACAACCTAACTCTAATCAAAATTCATAAATAAAAATCAAATCAATTGAAAATGTATTAGATGAATATACTATCAAATGTATTGATGTTTTATAACTCAAAGCTCCAAAATAACTATCACAATAGGATACTATGAAAACACTACCTTTTTCTGCATCCACCAAGGCAGATTAAAACTTAAAATAAAAGGCCCTATAAGCAATATAAGAAATGAAATAAAAACAATCATTAGACCTAATATCGAGATTGAACCTTTAAAAGCCTTCCTCAATATAGAGTGCCAAAAATCAATCATAATAAATTCCATCATTGGGAAAATTAGAAGGACAATTGAAATTCCATTAGAAATCTAATAGTGCAGAATTTATTGAAACATAAAAATTCTAAACTCATGCAAATTCTTAGCCTCTTTTAGAATTTGCTTTTGATAAGAAGAAACCAATAACAACAAGGTAAAATAATACATTAATTTAGAAAATGTCAATAAGAACTCATTGCGATAGTTGTTCAATACAAGTCATTTTAATAAAAAATGACTATTGACATCTCTACAAATAAAATATCTTGGCTTGTAGAAACCGTTAGATAAGAATTAATGAATCATTTTGGAAACTCATTTTAACCAATAATAGGAATTAAGACAGTCAATATATCTATACCTATAGATTACATACTTTCTAAAATTGAAAGACCTTTATCTTTATTATCCAATTGTCCACTATAGCCATTAGTCCTTGAACCTATTATTGATTCTGAATAGGAACTCAAATAGACTCGGGTTAGTTTGAGAGACTTTGAATTTATTCGATGCATCGGTGTTGGAGGTTTCTCAAAGGTTTATTTGGTAAGAGAAAAAAGGACAGGGTAATTTTATGCTATGAAATTGGTTGAAAAAAAGCCAATAATGCAACAAAATAAACAAAATATTATTCAAAATGAGAGAGACATAATGTCTTAATTAAATCATCCCTTTATCGTTAAAATGCAATATGCATTTGAATCTAGAAAATACTTAGTTTTTGTATTAGAATATTGTTCTGGAGGTGAATTATTTTATCTGTTAAGAAAAGTATGAATATTCAATTAATATAGGTTAAAAAAATGAGTGAGGAAGAAGCCTTTTTTTATTTCGCAGAAATCTGTTTGGGAATGAAGAATTTACATGATAACAATATCATTTATAGAGATATCAAACCAGAAAACATTTTAATTGATTTTGAAGGGCATGTTAGAATAGCTGATTTTGGTTTATCGAAGCCCCAAATGGAAAATTAAGATATAGCCTATTCATTTTGTGGATCACCTGAATACATGGCTCCAGAAATGTTATTAAAATAAGGTCATACATTCTAATTGGATCTTTATTGTTTAGGGGCCTTGCTTTATGAATTAATAACTGGTTTACCACCATTTTATTCTAGAAATACAGATGAGATGTATCAAAAAATACTGAATTAAAAATTGAGTTTTCCATCCTAATTGCAAATGTCATAATTATTAAAAGATTTATTGAGTAGCTTATTAGCAAAGACACCTAACAAAAGAATAGATGATATTGAATCTCTTTTAAAGCATCCATGGATGACTTAGTGGAGTGATAAGAATTTGTATAAGGATTTCTTGATGAAAAAGGTTAATCCTCCATTTAAACCAGATTATTTTACATTCAATTTCGATGAGGAAGAATTTGGTAAAGGTGAAAGTGAATTTCTTATGTAAATCAAACCACTCTAATAAAATTTGTTAGAAAACTTTCCAAAAGAAATCCTACTTAAGAATTATTATTATAATCATAATGAAAGCCATGTAGCTGAGAGCACTGGCGGTACAAACTTGAATGCAAAATTATAAGAGGAACTGTAATCTTATGAAACTTAAAGATAGAAATCAAAAAGATTAACTACTTTCGATGATGAAAATACTAATTATGTTAACGAATAAAAAGTTTTCTTATTAAATTAACTAAGATTATAAAAGGAGAATGAATTAAAAAGAAAGTCTGCAGTATGAATAATAAATATTAGATGTATTTTTTATGCTTTTTACTTTAATAAATGTACTGTCAGAATCATTATTATTATCTTCTTTATCCTCTTCTTGCTTATTTTTATTATTTTTCTTCGACAACAGGCTCATCAATGGGAATGTCAATTTCCAAACCAGCTTTTTCAAGCATTCTTTTAACATCTTGATCTCCTCTAAGATTGTCAATGTCGACAGATGATTTTTCAGGGACATAGTCCAATCTTCTCTCTCTTTCTTCTTCTTAAATCTATAGTTTGAAATGTGACCATTACTTTGAGTGAGATACCCTTAACTGATCCAGTTTAGATTCTCTTCAAAAGATGTGTTGCGAATCCAGCAATTTTATTTCTCAATTTTTTTGATGGTACTTATCCAACTTCTGAGAGGATCTTTTTATTGAAATGAAAATCTGAAGTGAGTTTCATGTAGTATTTTTCAATGAGGACTTTAGCTGCCTTCTTAACTGTCTTATTTCTAACTCTTCCCATGAATTAATTTGAAAAAAATTTATATCTTTAATTTATGAAAATAAATCACAGCAAAACAATAAAAATGCATTTAATACATAAATTCTTAATTCTTTTTTGCAATTTACTTTAAATTTATACATTAGCATAATACTTAAACATATAATAAACCATTTATTAGTTTAAGTGATAAATATTTTAATTTCTATATATTTATTAATGTTAATAGTGCAAGTGAGAACACCCAAAATAAAGATGGCAACACATCGCCCATAAAATAGTTAACCAACAATGTTCAATTAGAGTAATCTGAATAGTTTTCATCAATTTTTTCAAAATTAATCGAAAAGCTTACAAAAAGGTGAAGGTACAAATGATAGTAGATGCAAAACTGAATCAACCTAAATTGAATTAAAGCCTAATCATGCTCACAAAATATCAAACTAATCAACAACAATTAGTCTAACCAACAGCACTAGTTATAATTAAAGATTATCGAAAATAAATTAAAAATCTAACAGTAGTAATAAAATTATAGAAAAAATATTACCTAAATCTGTAAATCCATTCTAAGAGGATGAATGCACAGTTAACCAAAAATTATAATCTTAGTTATAGAAATTATTAAACAAAACTAAAGATATCATAGCTTCTTACGAAATCAATTCAAAAAAGCAATAAATAACAGAATAATAATTAAAGCAATAAATTGTACAGCTAAAAAAGATAATTGAAAGTCAGCAAAAACAACTTAAAAAACATAACATTAAATTTTGAAAATCTCAATTTGAGTAGGATTTTTTCCCTTTACTTACTAAATGATTTTGTTATATATAAGCTATATAATAAATTAATAAAATAACTTTAAAATTGGATAATACAATTCTAGTTAATTGTCTAACAACATGAATCATCTCTTTTTAAATATATTTGCTCAAGTCATAATTGATTAAGAGATAAGCAATATCAACTTAGTTATAGTTTTTAACTACAAAAATCCAGAATTCATATGAAATAATTCTATAAAATATTCTAGATACTTATTTATGATAATATTACCATAATATTCTTGCAGTTATTTCACACATCTCTTGATAAGAGGTTTTTCCTAATTTTTAGTTTGACTCATCACTAGTTCTTAACGAGTTTTTAATAACTTTACTATATAAGATATAATTGTAATAAAAATTGAATTAGTTAAAGGAGTTTTTTATATAAATAATAATAGTTATCATCATTTATTTAATAATAACTTAGCATCATCCATACTAGTTGTCAGATATTCAAATCTCTTTTGTTTTTCTGTGAACCAATTAGGTATTAACCTATTTTTATTCATTTCATATTCGTTTAACTATAATTCTTCTATAAATCGCATAAATAATATTGATACCTTTTGTGAAATTAAATAAATTGGGTAGAGATTTTGAATTGATTTTGATGTTTGGTTATTTCAATTCCTAAAAGAAAGGGTGCAATAAAATCTCAAAGGCAGATATTCTTTAATTAGGATCGTAAACAAAGATTTTTTCTAACAAATCAACCAATTATTCATTCTCTATTTCTTAGAATCGTTTACTCATAGGAAACTTAGGAATTTCAGGCATTTTGAGATCTAATATTTAAGATTTTAGATTTTTCATTTCTTAGAGTGTAGGTGTTCCAAGTAATCTTATAATATCAGCCATAGTTTCAACAGTATTGGTTCCATTAAATAGTTATTTGCCCAAAAAACATTCTGCAATTATACAACCCAAACTCCAAATATCAACTTACTAATTGTAGAGTTTAGAGCCTAATAATAATTCTGGTGCTCTGTAATTGCGCTCACCAACATAATTTGGAGAGGGAATCTAGGAGAACAATGATTTTGCACTGTTAAAATCACAGAGTTACACACTGAGTGTATCAACGTCAATCAATACATTTCTGGGGTTGAGATCTCTATGAGTAATGTTCTTGTGATGTAAATACGATATCGCCCTTACAATCTAATAGATAAATAATTTAAATAAGATTTGCTTTGCCTTCTTTTCCTATTTAGCTAAATTGATTAATTTAGGATCTGTAATTTTAGTATTCTCTTAAACATTCGAATGTTTGTAGAATTGCTATAGAAAGGATCTTAAATTGCAACTCATTAAAGGCATAATCTCATACAACATAGGTCTATTATCCTATATAATTTAAGAGAGAATACATTTGACTTGTCATAAACTACATAGTTATGTTTCAGTTCAATGATGTTCGGGTGTCTTAATTATTTAAGATAATAGATTTCCTTGGTACATTTGTTCATGTTGACTTTGCTTATTTTAAGGGCATAATAATTGAAATGACCTTCAATCAAAATTCTATAGACTTGAGTATTGTTTCCATCATAGACAACTCCTTTTTTAGTAATGCTGCTTTCAGAAATGACACTCTGAGTGCTTTAATTGTACTTTAAGTTGTGTCCACTAGATTTCATTTTGTAATCAACGGATGATGACATCTAACTATTGCTATTAATAATTTGTCTGGTTGTCTTATCAACTGATTTGGATAGTATTTTTTTCATTTTTGATTGTTTCATTTAATTATAATTCTTTTTATATTGTTGATATTCAAAAAGTGTTTTGTGAACAGGATCAGAGTATTTAATTAGTTTGGTTGTATCTATTATTGGTTTAGTGTTCTCGACTGAAGCCAATTGCGGTTGAAATTTAGAGTTTCTTTTAAAGAGACTGATTTAATTATCAGAAAACATTATTAAAAAATATATAAAAATTAATGTAATAAACTAATGTACATCCATAAGTGCTGCTGAGCATTTCTTCATAAATCTTAACTAACAAAGTCAATTTCCCTGGCAAGAACATCCATGCTGGTATATTGCTGGGCTTTTTCAATGCAAAAATAAATAAGACAGATATTTTGGATTCATTTGAGATTAGCTATTCAGGCAAAGGGGAATTGAAACCGGGGGAGATTGATTTTTTAAAGGAAAGATAATAATTAAGATTGAAAGGTGATAAATGGAATCTCTTTAAAAATTTGGACATTGTAGGTTTAATCAATAATAGCTATTGTAGGCTGGTATATTACAGATAGCAATCCACATGAGTATCTGAAAGTTCATAAGTAATTGCAAACCTTGAGTGAAGCTGAAAGTACAGAAAATTAAACATCATTCTTTAAATATTTATTGTGCTTTGATCCATATAGTACTTAAGCAAATTTATATGAAATGGAGGAAAATAAAATGTAGGTATCATAAAGTAAGGTTGAACCCCAATCAGAAGAGATGATTGGTATCACATCCTTATTTTCATAATAATCCTCTTAATCAAAAAAAAAATATGACTTAAGAGTTAATTCATAACTCTAAATGATTAGTTTTTTAGAAGTATGTTATAATCTATTTAATCCAATAGACTATGTTACAAAAATTATTATAACAATTAGATCATCCATAAATTGCAAATGATCCCTTGGCTTTATTAAAGATTAATGAAGTCTTGATTTCATTTCCTTAGATCAATCAATAAAATATTGAATAAGACTATTTTAAGCTATTAATAATCAGCTATTATTGTGCAATTTTAAAGTTGGATGTAACAAGAAATAAACAGGATTGAAAAGTAATTAGATAAAAATTATATCAAATTAATACAATAAATTAAGTTTAAATAAGTCTATAAATATATATTTATGAGAGTAATTAAACAAATTTTCATGTATTAAACAAGAAATCTTATTTTTAAATGTTTCTAGTTAATAGTTCTTAAATAATTAATTTATCTTTGAAATATCTTTTGATTTGAAGAGTCTACTATGTAACTAACATTATTCAGGTATTTCGAGTGTTCCACAATTGTGAAATATTCCCATTTATTATTATTAAAATTGAAAAAAATAGTAAGAACTTAATTTTAGACAATTTATAATTTGCTTTGAATAAAGATGTAGAATTGTCCTTACATTGAAATCATAAGGTATTTTAAGGATCCAGTGTATTTTTCATCCTGTTCTCCCAAAAGTAATTTTAAATAAATTTATTTGATACTTTATCTTAAATTATTTATTCTTTTCAATATAAAATTTAAAACTTTGAATTACTATTCTTTTATGTTTCATTAAATTGAAAAAACTGATGGATAAGTATTTATTCATTTGTGATCAAATTAGTCTCTTCAAAATTAGTCTATTATAACATTCTTAAAGTTAGTGTTATGTAAATTTGAACTTACAAAAATTAAATGCCCTGAAATTTAATTTTGCATGCTGCTTAAATTAGAGAATAACGTATTATGAATATAGAGTGAAGAGACTTGCTTAGTAAGTATATTTATAAAACATTCTTTATATAGAAATTTAATCATAAGCATTCATTCTCTTATTTTGGACATAGATGCGAAGTATTACAATAATTAATGAAATCACAGTATCAATTCAATGAAATCGTTAATTGGAGTGATTAGTCGGCATTGTTTAGTATTATTAACAAATAAATAAATAAGAAATAAATCTTAATTTAATTACATAATTGCATATAAATGACGTGTCATTAATGATCAAGTAATTCTTATAAAATTGACAATTAAATGTTCCTATGAATTGTTCAACTATTATAATATAATTTAATAGAGATGTTAGCAAGGATTATTGGATTTTTGATTAACATTTTGAGTTACCTTCCCATCTACATATACAATCTATTGTACAGTAGATTCTACACAAAGTAAAATTACAAATAAATATCTTAGATGGACTTACGTAATGATGTGCGATCGATTGGAGAAAAAGATGGCGAATGTCAAACGGATTCTGGATGTTGGAGTGGGCACAGGACACCCTATGAAACAGATTATAAATAGGATTCCCTCCAGAATTCGAGTGGTCGGGATAGACATCGATACTAATTATTTGAGGTAAAATAAATGATCAAGAATCCTAGATATGCAAGACAAACATTCAAGCAGAATGAAAATGTAGAAATTAGAGAATAAAACTTTTACGATTTGGAAAGCTCAAAGGAACAATATGAGGCTGTGATCTTCTCTTCGTCTTTCATGATAATGCCGGACAGAATAAGAGCATTAAGAATTGCGAAATAAAGGTTGAGCAAGGGGGGTTCCATCTTTTTCCTATTGACTCTAGAGCCATACAAAAACTATAAAACAGTCATCATTGAAAAAATCAAGCCTTATCTAAAATACATCACAACCATTGAGTTCGGCAGCATTACTTATGAAAAGGATTTCGAACTTATGCTTAGAGAAGAAGGATTGTAAATTACATCTAAAGAAAAAGTTGCTAAATATAGTGTATTTTTGGCAATATTTAATATGTTTGTGGTAGAGGCAGAAGTAATATGAATTATACATATATTTTATAAATATGAATTTTTTGTTTAAAAATGCAATTAATTGCCTAAACTATATCATCTACTCGTTGGCATCTACATCACTATGAATATAAACGATTTCATTCATTACTAACAGTTATAATCAAGAACTTATTATTCATTAAAATAAGAATTTAGAAAATAATTCAATTCAATTCTATAAAAAGAAAAAGTGTTAAAGTTAATGACTCATTAAAACATCTATGTAGAAGATAAACGTTTACTTTTGGTACTGAAGCAACCTAAATTGTGAAATACATAATTAAACACGAAACTTATAAATAAATATCAGGTCTTAAATATAAATCTTTGTTATTAATATCAATAGATAGGAAATAAGGTTCTGGGTAACGTTATTTAAACCATATTATCTTAGATATATATAGGATTTGAGTAATTTATAAGAAAAATAATGAAAATGGATATTAGATCATTAAATGATATAAATATGAATATTAATAATAATATAGATGTGTTATAATGATATTAATACATCATTTCTTTCTATATATTGTTATCTCTTGTTATTTAAAATATCTTCTATCATCTTCATCTACTAAAATCAGATTCAGAATGTATTTAACACTAAATTTGCCATTAACATTCTTAACAGATGGTGTGATATCGACTCCACTTAAATATAATCTGATTGGGATCACTTCTCCTTTTTAAGGACAACCATCCATCAATTCGTATTTTACAAGTGTCTCGTTGTCTGTTTATTGTTATTGTCCTTGACCATATTGTTCCTTTCTGATCACTGCCAATTCCATATATTTTATTTTGATTTTGACCAAATAGAAATTCACTTTTCCTGTAACGACATCTCTCAAATGATATTTACTCTTGAAATATTCAAAATCGATATGCAAACATTCTTCAATTCCAACCTAATTTAAGAGTTGATATATACTTCTAATTTTAATGATGTTTAAGGTTGTTCCTCCAATTCAGGTTAAGAGATTAAAACAGCAAAATCCACTTCCTTCTATACTTTGCCATAACTTCTGGTCATGTAAATCTTCAAGTAATATCGTAATCTCACAGTATTGCCATAATAACTCTCATTTTGCTTTTCGAACTTCTAAAATTAAAATTTATAAGCTTTGTCTTCAAATAGGATTCCTTAAGGTTCTAATTCTCTGGACATAGACATAAAATCTGAGCTCTGTTTTTAATCATTAATAATTTCTTGTTTATTCAATTTAACATTTACCTATGCGTCCAACCAATTCGATTCTTATACCCATGTGTTCTATTTTCTTCTATTTATTCATCTTCACTTCCACCACGCCTGAGATGTCATCATCACCCTATAATTAAATGAATGACCAATCTAATTACTGTGTAAACCGGCAATTTTAATGCACCTAGTTGTTTATCCACAAATCTAGTGTGTTTCCGAGTCTCTATTCCATCCAATGTGACTTCAATTATCGGTTGCCCTTAAACCATGTTCAAAAGAGATGCCTAAAATACGTGGAATTCATGAATTTACCATCTTATGTCAATTAAATGATATAATTTAATTACAATAATTACAGCATATACAAACAATTTATTAAAATAAAGAATATATAAATAATTCGCATTGATATAACCTACTTGATATCAAATATTCTAGTTTATACTTCATTTTAGTGTTAATTTATATATAGAGAGAATGTTAAAGAAGTATTTCATTTACATATTACTCATAAATATACTTTATCATACTCTATGAGGTATTTTTTGTACATCCCTTGTTTGAATAATTCAAATGGAATTGTTTGTTTATAACCATAGGATAAGCCAGCACCCCAACTCATGAATAAAAGGAACACGGATATTGGTTTTTTCACAAATGAGAGTCGACCCTTTCGATAAAAGTCGTAGAAGATTCTTCTTTTACTCAATAATATTTTGTAGAATAGCAATGAGGCCACTGTGCAACCAGATGTAGCATTAACTAAACTCATCATTGTATCATTAGTCACTTTGTCAATTTTTTCTTTGTCCACCTTCTTAGAATAAGGATATACTTGTAGTAATGCAGGATGATTGACAATAAGATTGGCCTTATCGGTAGGTTGAAGCATCATATATCTTTTAAAGTATTATTCAATTAGAGCCTTATTTGTTATTTTTGCATTAGGATCATTTGTCTTGATCTCCTGTTTAAGTACTTCTCTCCAATCCTTCTATTCCCATCTATATTTAAAATTATTGATTACAATTTAGCATATGGAGAAGTATATTTTTATGACTCCATAAATTTATATTTATATTAAATATTTAATATTTCAGTTACCATGAGTGATATCAAACCATAGACTGCTAAGATTGTTTCTAGATTGAGATTTGGACTTCAGCAAGAAAATGATTAATAGGATGCCAATAAGATACAAACCAATTTAATTGAACATTATGATGCAAGAGATTTACGATTGCAAGATTTGTAGGATTGCTAGAAAGTTTACAAGGTGATCAAGAAGGAAACCACTACCAAATGGATTTTATTAACTAAATTGGAGGAATGCAAATAATAAATAAAAATAGAATTATAATATTTAAGAAAATTAGTGATTTATGTTTAGAATCATAATAAACAAGGATTGAATAAATCACAAATGCTTGAAATAAATTAACTATCAGCACTCTTAAACCTCTTTCAAACTTATGTGGACCTTTTCGAAAACAATACATATGATAGAAAAGACAAACTAAAACGTATTAAAACTGTTGAACTCGAAGATAAACAAAAGGCGATTAATGAATGGAAAAAATGGATTAACAGAAATGAGAGTTTCTTAGAACCAATCATTTCTGAATCTAAGCAAATCACTTTAAAGGTTATCGAGGAAGTCCTAACTTTATCTTATGATCTTAAATACCAAATATTGCAAGAACCTGACACCATTGATCCTGAGAGTACCTTGAATTATTAAAGTTAGATTCAAGATTTAAGAAGGAAATTAAGTCTTGATTAATACAAGCGAAGCAGAAATCAATTTGAAGAATTTCAATATATGTAATCGATTATTATCAACAATTAGTATTGATAATTTCAATTATCACATCCCTAAACTCTAAGATATGAATCAATTAAATTTATCTGAATTAAAGGAAATGAAAAGAAAACTTAAAAATAAGTCAAAAACTGAAATTAATTAAATGAATTCAGGCAAGACCTCTCCAAAAAAGGAGGAATCTGTTCACCAGCAAAATGAAGTTGATAACTGCTTATATCAATATCAGAAGTAACAGTATCACATAATAAACATAGAGAAAAGCAAAGAATAAGTAGAGTTGACAAAGCAAATTATAAATAAAATATCAAAGACTCTTAGAGAGAAGTGTTTATAGCAAGAAACAATTAAGGATCGATTCAGAAATTACATTAGAGTTTTGATATCAATAAATTAAACACAAGCAAGGGACATCGAGAATATATAATCTCTATGATAGATGGATAACTATTAAAACCATATACTCCTTTAGCTAGACTGAAAAAGGATGAATCAAGAGAAATATTCCAAAACTTTCGTAATAATGATAGTTACTCTCAAAAATAGAGTTTGAGGAATGTATCTCCTTAAACTTTTGTGGAAAGAATATCTTAAAAGATTAATGATATTACAACTTGTGAAGAGAATGAATTTCATTCAAAATTAGAATTCCCAGAACTCTAATCCCAAAAGTAGTAGGGCCAAATTAATATGGACAATCGTAGAGGAGTGAAAAAATAATACAATCAGAAGTTTATCTAACAAGTTAATAACAATGAAGTTAAATTAGTTAAACAATGCTAAGGTAATAATTTCTAATTTTATGAAGATTTCTACACAACTAGAATGAAATTCAACAATAAATTCACTGAATTAGTTACAACTTTGTAAAAGGATCGTCCTTTGACTTCCAGTATTAGATCAAGGTCTCTAACAGTAAATTAGAATTAAAGATAAGAGAATATCTAAAAAGTAAGAAAAGTGGCTGAAAAAGCGCGTCAGAATTTCTTTCTTCGAAATAAGGAATAAAGATTATGGCTTTAAAATCTGGCTCAATAATACAAATTAGCTGATTCAACTATTTAGCATATCATAGAACAATTATCATACATTGTCTAGGGTATTTTTAAATAAAATACATAGAGGGATTATTTATCAAGGTAGATGATATTATCTCTATGTTAAAACAAATTGAAGATTCTTCAGAACTAACTATGACTCCAAAAAGTTGTCAGCTTCTAAATCAAATATTCGTCTACTTTGGTATACAAATCTCTGAATTAAATTAACATAAGAAATTTAGGAAATTCAATACAAATCTTGATTGATTTATTAATTAATTATATCATTTAGTATAAAATATAAATCATCTTTCAATTTACATAGCCTCATTAACTTGCGATTCGTTACGATTGTATTCCTCGTTATCGAGCTCAATAGTATTTGATTGCTCCTTTTTTATGATTAGAATATCATTAAATGAGTTATTCTTTTATTCTAACTTGTATCCTTTATTTTTTGCTACAAACAAAAGAGCAGCAAATAACTTACTCTTACTAATTTTCTCATTTATAATCAAAGGCATTGTCTTTTCTATTTTTATGAATTCAACCTAACCTTTAATCTCATCAATAACTCTTTCCAAAATGACCTACAATTATTTAATTGTAATTGGCTCATTATTGTTATTAGCTTATACTCTAAAAGGCAATATGTAGTATTCTAAGTCATTCTAATAATTTTCTATCATGTAATTGGTCTCCTCTAATTACACTTAGATTTGTATTTCATCTAATCCAAAATTTTCTGGTCCTGCTATGGGAACTGCCTGTTAGTGTTCTTCTTCTTCCAAAAATCCAGTATATTCCCTTGTAAAGTACTCGAAATAACGATAATAGTCAAAATCTTAACAATTATCAGCTAGGCATTTTAATGTCAATTCTCTTTGACCGAAGTCCCTCTAAGTATTTCCAACCGTATTTAAAATAAGAAACCTATTTAATTCTGCTGCATCGTCAAAATTAAATGTATCTGGATAGACCTTCTTTTGTTTCTTCTTAACATTTGTCTACTATTGTTATACTACTTATTGTTAATTATTAGTTTTCTGTATTTATTATTATTCTTCATAAGGTGCTAAATCTTAATCAAATTCTTCCTCCTATTCCAAATCCCATTCATCAATTGGAGCATTCACATCATTAAATATATCCTGAAATTACTATTAATAACTAAGTTATTTCAGCTCTTCTTATATTTATGCTTATTTTTCGGCTGTCTCTTTTTATTGCTTTTAAAATTGTTCTCTTAAAATCTTGTTCTTTTCTTGGTTTATTTTGAATTGCTCTAATTGTAACTATCTCTATTCTTCGGTTAATTATAACTTATTATTTTCATTTAGCTAATCTTCATCAAAAGGATCAGGCAGAAGCTCAGGCAATTAGTTATTGAACTCCTCAACATCCATCTGATTAATTTACTGAACTAAGTTCTATACACTACCTTATTGATTTCTTGTCTAATTTAGATTATCCCCTTATGAGGGTCCTGAATCAATATTCAATTGTGCAATTTTGTTTCTCAAAAGTAAATCTTACTAATCGGTATCTATTTCAGTAGGGTTAATTCTAAGTTATTATTAATATTGCTGATTCAAACTTATGAATTATTGTTCCTCAACACTTAATTAAGAGAGAGATTACTATTATTGGTCAATTGTTTATTGTGCCTATTTTAATTTTTCATCATAAACACGAAAATCATTGATAAATTTATCAATAGCAATTTGTTAGCTTTTTTCCAATTTAGCAGATTGAGTATCTTTTTTATTGAGTAGATATTTGTATCTCTCTCTAAAATCATTAATTTCGTTGAAACTCATCTTGAATTGTTTAGAGACTAAATTGGAATAGTCAAGGACTGATGTGTCTATTTCCAACTTGATAAAGCCTGTCAAAATATTCTTGTTCTGCTCATTTACTTTCAAGAGTTAATCAGGATCGATTATTATGGCTAGATTCTCATCGAATTAAGGGTTGTAAATAATTAAGGTATTCAAGTCCTGCATATCTAAGGATTTGCTTGTTTGATTGAAGAATGGATTGATCTAAAGTGTATCATATTGATGAGTGTAAGGTTTGAAATCAAGAGTAGATTCCCCATATTTGGTAATCTCTTTGAGTTCCACATTTCGATTGAGATGAATAGTTTTCTATGTTACTTATTAAGGTTATTATTGTTATTTGCTTTTCTTTTAGGGAGCAACATTCGGGACAGTGGTTGTGTCATACGCTCTTAATAAATTAACCTTTAACTTGAGACTCTCCACGTAGGTTCTATCTACTCTATTGGAATAGAGCCAGGCCAAGGCATCAAGATACAAGGCGCTTTTGTTCATGTCATCAACATCAATCAATCTGATTTAATTGGTAATGTCAAAGTCAAAGACTCTTTCTGACAATCCCTTTTACATGCATTTGAGAATCTCATTGAGAATTTCATTCTATTCATCGTCTGAATCATCGCTATTTTCTGGTTTATTGGGTTGATCAATCTATATTTCGATTTCTTCTTCTTGGTGTGTTTTCAGATCAGATAGATATTATTATAATTTTGACATTGAATAGATCATCAAAATTCTGAACATTAAAGCTCAAAAAATCATTAAAATATTTATAGGACTGATAATTTCAAATATAATGAATAAATAATACATACCAGCCAAAGCACAAGAAAAAATATTTGCTTTAATTCTCAAAAGACCTGAAAATTTGAATTGTGCTGACTGTGCAACAAAAGGACCTAGATGGGTCAGTCTAGATTACGGAATATTCATATGTATGGATTGTGCAGGTTCAACTTCATTTCTCATTTTTATTAGGAGCCCATCGAACATTAGGTCCTAGTGTCACTAGAGTAAGGTCAACCAATATTGATGGATGGTATTAAGAAAATATCGACATTATGGAATCTATCGGCAATGGCACTGCAAATTCTTATTGGGAAAATAAAATGCCAAAAGATTTTATGTAAATAATTCCGAATATCCCTCAAATAGCAAACCTACTATTAATTAAGGTCTGGATTCATTAATTAGATTCGTATAGGAGAAGTATGTTAAGAAGAGATTCATACCTTAAATATCTTGTCCAGATCCTAAACAATAATACATTCTAACCAAAACGTAATGTTCACCTCATATTCTTAATTAGATCAGTCAAGCCTTTTTATTTCAATCAATAAGAGACAAAAGTAGAGGAACCCAAAGTAAAATTGGGAGATTTGATTGATTTGGATGATGACTTATTTGGAGTCAAAAAACCAATTGTACAAGTTGAAGAAACCCAGGGATTAAATACTCATTAAGGTACGACTAGATCATTGTCACCTGAGAAGGATTTCAATGAATTTGTACAATCGACTCCTCATGTCAATCCACCAATCCATTCATTACCTTCTCTGGACATACTTACACTCTACAAATCGGAATCGCAATAGACACAACAGTCATAACAAATTATACCGAATAAGAACTCGAATTATGCTTATTTATCCAATATGGGACAATAACAAAATAATGGGTTTTATAATTAGTAAACAAATTATTAACACCTTTATTAATAATAGTAATTGTAGTAATAGACATTCCCATATTAATAATAAAAGTTCTAACAACCAATTCAAACGAATGGACCCATCAATATTATGGATTTATATTCAAAATGATATTTATTTAGATAATAATTTAGAAAATTATTATAGATCATTAGATAGATTTTTAATTGAATTCCAATTCATTTCATTTCTTCCTGCACATTGCACAATAGAAATTCATGTCTTGAGCCAATTATGCTTAAACACCAGCGCATTCGTAATGTAACCATTTTAAACATTTTTCACATTGAATATACGATTTATCAGGATTTGATATTTGATTGCAAATACAGATTCTATTCCACTTCGAAATTGGAGGCGTAAACTTATCCTTCTCTACGTTATAATCAGCCCTTGTAAAATACGTTCTCTCATTTTAGATTGTCATTTCCTCATATTCCTTTATTGTTATTAACCTTATTTCATGATCAATTTAAGTGCAAAACAACCATTCCTCTATCTCTGATTAAAACAATTCAAACTCACTTATCCCTTCCTATAACTCTTTTAACTTTGAGGGCAATTCCAATTTATTAATGTACTTTTGCACTTTGATCATGGGTATCAAATATTCATCCACCTGCAAATTACAAAACCCTATTAACTTTCCATATGTTTTCTTGTCCCTATTCCCGTCAATTGATAACTAAACTAGCTAGCCAATTGAGTAAATTATTCCGTCATATTTCATTTTCGAGTATGATTTCACTAAACCCAATTAAGTTGCTGCATCAACTAATTCTTTATACTAATATTTGTTTAATGCACATACCTTTTTTTAGTATAATAACGATTTTATGACTTAGTCGTTGACTTAATTAGCCTCCATTTTTATTAATTAAATAGAAAATTAAGGGTGGGAAATATTTAAGTTTTTAATAATTATTATTTTTTTCACAATTATTCCCAAGTTTTAAGTTATTCTAAAGTTATTTTTATTACTTTATTTTCTTGTGTTCTCTTGCAAAAAATAAACATTTTGAATTTAAATAAGCAATTCTAATGTAAGAGCTGTAATGTAATTCTTCTTAAAATGAATTAGAAATAAAATAAATATATAAATTAACGAATTTTATCTTAAGATACATTCATTTCAATACATTCTAGTTTATACTAATTAATCAATATAATTTCATTTAGTTATTTAATTAAATCAAAGTCAAGCAACATATTTAGATGTGAAATATGTGCCAAGATATTTAAATTTTAATAATCAGAATAGAATTTAAAAACCACACACTTTTGATTCATTCAAAGCGAAGTAAACTTATTATTTAATAATGAGAGGAAATTCATTTTTTCAAATTTACACCTATATAATTATAATTTTTGAAAATTAAAAAGTGTTATAATTAATACTAAATAAAAGTTTATTAAATTTAAAAAATCTGATCGATTTATGTGCTTAATCAATCATAGCCTTTATGGTAAAGATCAGACTTATATTATGAATAACTTAAATTCTATATTCTAAATTTTTGTCTGGTTTGATGCAAAATATTCTTTGAAATATTATAAAAATAGTATAACAGTCTCACCCTCTTAATTCTTAAAAATGAATAAATTCAATTATGAATTAGATAAATAATTAATGAAATTAATGTATTTTACTCTTAGGCTCAACTAAGTTGTTCAATAGGGATGTTGAATTCTTTTTAAGGAAGTCTAATCACAAGATAGACCAGAAAAATGTGCTTGGGAGGATATTAATATTTTGATATAAATTATTATTTCAAACTCTTTATTGAGGCTAAGTCATTTCGCTTCTTTAATTTTAGTTTGTTTAGGTTCTGTGGGTAACATTCTATTCGGTCATTGTTAATTAGTTTTAATTACGCTCCCACCTAACTCCATCTCCTTTTGGTCTTCCGCTTTCTCCGAACATTGGGAAAGGCCAGAGCCAAGAATTAATTCCTATGACTTATAACCAGTTTTCTTTGAATCTGAAATATACATTTAAATCGTTTACCCTATGTCATAAGCATTCAGAGGAATTTGGGGGTTGTTTCCATTTCTTCTTACCTCCAAAGTGTCTATGGTTGTTTTGTTAGTTGAAACTAAATCTAAGTGAAACAGAAAGAAATTGAATATGACTACTCCGAATACAAGAATGATTGATGCTCTAATATTTTTTTAATTTGTTACAGTAAGAGAGTAGGGATAACATTATATTTCTCAATTAGAAGTCTCCAATCTACAAAGATAAGATCCATAATAATTGGATAAACTTAGAAGGCGATGATTCCAATGCCAAATAAGACTGTTAAATTTATATAGAAAAGAAACAAAATAAAAAACTTACGATTTTGATATCCCACACAATTTCCAATCCATGGACAATGATGATCCATATTTAAAACACATCTTTGACATCTTTGAAATTATTATAATATAGCTACGTTGAGCAATGGTGACATCGTTCAGGTTTAAAAATATGGCAAATTAAACAATATCGTCTTTTCTTTTATTCCTAATCGTCCAATAAAACTCCCCAATAAATGGGAACCTGAATTTTATATAGAAAATACTTTTCCAGGATCACTTATTACGCATCTGACCATTGACCATCCAACCATCAAATAAAATATGAAAAATGGAATCCAAAGTATATATATGATTTGGGAAAATTCAAGTGAGTAAGGATTTATTAATGTTATGTAAACCATTGATAGGAAGACCCATATGATAAAAAAGACCACTCCAAGTAAATAGGTGTTGTTAAATATTTTCTTCATTTGAATCTCTCTATACATTTTAGTATATAAATATTTTTTTATAAAAAATATTATTTAAAAAAGTAAACCCAAATTTATAAAATCTAGTTTTATGAGATTTGAACCATATTAAGAAACCAAAAAGACAGTGAAAGTGGCTCCAGTTAGAATTGTTCAGAATTAGCATGATTAGAATGGCTCTTAACCTCAAACAACTAAATATCCATAACTTAATTTATAATTCTAATTTTAAAAATGCTTCACTCCAGCTGTCACAATACCCTTAAGCTTTTTATAATAGCTTATCTAATAAGCATAGTCTAACAAAATTCTGAATTAGATTGGGGAAAACAAAACTGTTCAGCAAGAATAATCAGAGGCTGTCAATAATCTCATTACTTAAATATAATATCAAAAACAAGGAACCTCAAAGTCCTAAGATAGTAACGAAGACTCTCCAATTAGGCTATATTTAATTAAGAGTCAAATGAAATTTATTACTGAAGATACAACGTCAATCGATAAGGTAAAACTATATTTTGCAGACAACCAAAATTTATTGCCTCATTTCTGGGCCTGGATCAATTCAATCGAATTTAAAGCCTTAGAGGAAATGCTTATGTTGTGCTATTCCAATCCCTCAAATACTAAAAGAATTTAAGATATATTCAAATCTCTTTTTTAAACTTTGTCAATTGAATTTTTTTAGAAACATGCATATGCACAAATTTTGAGATCAAATCTACAAGACAAAATTAAGTATCTCTCAGTAATAGGCGATATTTTGAGTAAAATAATGAACCCTTAGGATTATTTCTATTTTAACAAGTAGTGAATTTATGTAAAATATTAATGCGTATATGTATTATAACACAATAAATCAATTTTTTATGATTTTCTTTATTAATTCATAAGCCATATTGTTATCCATAATTAATCTCTCCCTATCCTTAGTGACTATATGATATTCAACTTAGGCTTTCTTGAATTGTTGATAAGCGAAAACACAAAACAACCAATTGAAAGCCAAAAATAATATTTGCAATGTTATAAAAGTTCCTACTTCCTCCTCAAATACCTATATTTTTGATAATTTTATACAGATTTTATTGTATTAAAATATGAGATAATCACTATTGTAGCTATTGTTCTGAAAGCCAAACTAATTCCTAAACTGATAGGGAATAAATGTAAGATCTAATCGTATTCAAATACCAATTACCTTTTAAGACTTTTGGTATATTCCATAATAACCAATAATTGAAGCAACAATAGTACATAATTAAGCAATATTTTAAGGAATCAATATCGTTTCCAATTTTCTAGCCTACTCCCTGTTAGATAAATTGATATCTGTCAAATAAGTTCTGATTCTAAAGATTTATGAATTGCTTTCAAGAGTAATGGCAGAAAATAAACTAAATACTGCTAATCCCAATAAACATGAATTCAATGTAAAGAATATTACTTTCCTTCTATCAAAAGAAAACCTGTTTTTGATAATCTATTTCAATTCAGACAATTCTAATTGTTTGGATAAAACTGGTGACTCCATAAATTATATTTTAATTATATAATATAAATATCATTTTGCTTATTATTTTTCCTCCTCCTCTTCATTTATTGGAAGCAAGGGATTGGTAGTCTAAAATTCCCTTGTATCTCTTCTCTAAAAACATTAAATATTTGTGATACATAGTCATTTCTTCCTTATTATTAATTTAAGGTAATAATCAAATCTCTCAATTGATTTTAGTTAATTCTTTTTTCAGCATCACCAAAATGCACATGAGGAGATGTTGATTTAAAATAAGAAGTGCCTTGTCCTACAGTGCTTAATTGTAGATCCCATATTTCTATTAGGTCAATCTTAAAAATAAATCAATCAATCAAAATACTTACATTTAGCAAATGTATATCTTCAGGTAATATTGAACCACTTTAAAATGTTTTATCCTCTTCCACTAATCTACTTGCCTAGAGTTATTTCCCATCAATCCAAATTCTATGATGATCATAACCACTTCCTCCTATTCCCAAGCCAGGTTATTTTGGTCCTTATTTCAGAGGTGAATGGAGTGTTTAACTTTATCTCTTTGTAATGATTGGAACTAGCAAAGCAAATTTACTTTATTGTTAACCATTAGTTGAAAATATTTTGAATTTGGGATGGATGGAGAATATGAAAGATCCTTTATTTCCTGAAATATCAGGAGAGACTCTCCATTAGGATGGTGAAAAATAACCGAATACATATTTCTCTAATTTCTCGCCATCTTTATCCTTTTGGGAATGCCTAAATAGAATCATATTTGGCCCTTTGGCTTAGAGTAAGCAATTTCCAAGGATATTAAAATTGTATTATTATCCTGTATCCACTTCGTATTCATAAATTTAATTAATTGCAATACACTTCTAGAACCATGGCACACTTAGATTGAGTAAAGCTTAAAATGACATAAATTTAATACCTATCAATTATTTATTCATAAGTTCACTTGGGTCTAATTTTGGTAATGTATTTCTCAAAGTTTTATTAACGAATTTGCCTGCTATGTAATTCTTAACAATTTTGCAAATAAGAGGAGCTTCTGTTTTAATTTTATCATTAAAAGCTTTGTAATTCAATAAGGAGTGATCTAATTTAATATGAGATTCCCTTACTTTCAAAGATGTTGTTGATAATCAAAATTGGTGCTTGATCGTCATCATGGCATAAAATGTCTCCTTTATCACTCTACATGTTTATGAGTTCCTAAAATGACAAGGAAGAGGTTACTTTAAATAGCTTCACTGCATTTGAATAGCTAACACTTATCTTGTACACATTATTCAAATTGAAGGAATCCTTTTACATAATATCTGGACTTGATAAAGACACCAATGTAAATAATGTATATATGTCCAAGTTCTTCAGTTAGTTTTGCAATTTCATTGAAACTCTAGTAAATAGATCCACTAAAATTATAATTTTAGCATACCGACTGTAAGAAATGTGAGGCTATCGACATAATTTTAGCCCCCATAGTTTCTCATAAAAATATAGAGCTTTTATGCTAACACAGGATTCTCAGTAAAATATTGCTTAAAGCCTTCGAAACTAAAATATTCATCTGCTTTCCTGTTATAAAAACTATAAATACCCTGGTTTTTATTTTGTCATCTTACTGAATTTTTTTAGTGCATAATCATAGTCGCTTTAAGAGAATCCTACTTTTTCTCTTAATTCTTTTTCTCTCGATCCACAGCCCCCCATTACAATTTTTATATATAATATTTATTTACTATTAAATTGTAAATCAATTTAGTAATACTATGAGTAATTTATTCTCATTTTTTAAATTGATAAACCGTACTCTATCCTATAGAAGAACATCCATCATCAGGCATCTCTTTAATTTCTTAATGTAATTATAATAAGCTTACCACTCATATTTAAAAATACTCCATTTTAATGCGATTATTCTTCTGCAATTTGTTTGATTTCCCCCTTAATTGAATCCAACATTTTAGTTAAATCATTTTTCCCAGCAGTCATTGTAAAATCAATACAGCATTTTGGTTGATAAAGAGGAGGATGAGAATTCTTGTGATTATCTTATAATTTACTTTTTTAGGTTTAAGTAGTTGTAGTCTACTTTTCTTTGGAACTCATTCTTTTTTTCTTGCTATATTGAATTACATACATTTAATGATGAGTCTCTCCTGGAAGTTAATTGATCATCAATCCAATTAAACTATTTGGTACTAGTATCTGCAGTAGACAAATTTTAATTGCTACTATTCCTTTATGAATGTTCTCCTGTTAAGGTACCTCTTGCTGAAGTTGTTGCCGATTCTTATTTCATCATGATAATTTTTTTATCTATTTAAATCTAAGGTTTCTATTGTTGGGGTGGATTTTTCTAAAAGAAATAAATTGAATAGACTTACAATCATGGGCAATTATTAAGTTTAAGATGTTTTTTATGAATTACTACTGAGCTATCTGGGTTTCAATTGTTATTCAGGCTCTTTTATTATCTACTTTTAAGTCCCAGAGACACCAGGTTTTCTCAAAGGCAAAGGAGATTTCTTAGTTGAAATTGGTTACCCAGAACCTGGTCTTTTTCTCGTTAGTTCTTTTTCAACTTAATTGAATAGGTTGACTTCTGAATTCATGTGATTTTTTGATGTCTCTCTTTTAGTTAAAGACATTAAAGGAAATTATAAAAATATAAACTTAATCAAATATAAAATGAATTTCTTCTTATTTATTGTGCATAATAAAATTTAATAACTTGTTTTTTTAATGGTTTCTGCTTATTCCATTGGAACTGCAAAGAGAGACAGTCCTATCAAAAATTTGGTTCCTGCTCCAAATGCTTACTCCTTAAATAATCAACCGACCTCTCCTCAGTGGACGTATAATGAATAAATATCACTAGAATCGGAGGAAAAGTAAAGAGAGAAGTAAGAATAAAATCATACACTCCTGGACCAGGTTAATATCCATAGAAATCTTTGATCAATGGTGCACCATGTTGTACCATTAAGGGTAGACTTAAAGAGAAAGTTATTTCGTAATCTCCTGGACCAGGTAATTACAAAGAAGAACAGTTCTTGACGGTGCATAAAAAAATCCCATCGTATAGTATGGGTGTAAAGATTGATAAAATCATCAAAAATTTTGTTCCCGGTCCTGGAACTTATGATTTAAATTAGACTCATTAGACAACGATTTCGAGTAAATTCCCTATTGAAAAAAGAATAAGGACTATGGAAGATGGTTCAAGTTCACCTGGACCAGGATGTATACTTATATAATTATCCTAGAATACGATTTAACAAATCATAATAAATTTTCACCGCATAAATCATAACCTTCATGGGGTTTCGGATCCAAGAACAATTTTAAAATGCATTAATCATTGGATATGGGTTCCCCTGGCCCAGGAATGTATGAACTAAAGAGTACATTGACACAATAGAGTTTCACACTTAAACCTAAATTAAAAACTTAAGAATGCGATAAGTCAATACCAGGGCCAGGTAAATATTCTCCAGATGTATCTTTCGTTAAATCTTCACAACCTGTATTCAAAATCGGGAAGGAGTCTAGACTCCCATCATAAAAAATTACACAAGACCCTGGACCTGGAAGGTATTACTCTGAGTAAATTTAAACCTTATTCTTTTCTTAGGAAATATGACGTAAGGAGCAAGAAAACATAGCCTTGTTACAGTTTAAGTAAAGCAAACAGAATATCTGTGGCTGAGAATGAATCGCAGTTTGTGCCTGGACCAGGAGCTTACAATGTTCCACCTTAAAAATTAGGCAACATCACACTCAAAGGGGCTAAGGCTTAAATGCGACCACAAACCATACCGGGACCAGGTTTATATTAAGTTTAATAATAGGAACCTATAACCCTTAAGATAAATTGTGTTATTCTTATGATGGATCAGTCAAGATTGCTTAGGAGATTAAATAGAACAAGGCTTAGTCTTCTGAAAAAATGCCAGGACCTGGGGCTTACGATTATAAGTCTATTTTAATGGGACCAAGTTGGGGATTTGGTAAGTCGAGAAAACGAAAACCCATCTATAATATCAATAACAGTCCAGGGCCTGGTGCTTATGATGTACCATCTAAATTTGCTGATGTTCCAAAATACTTGAATTGTAAACCTAAGTTTTAAGTTTGAATTATATTATATGTACCAACATAATTTCTATTCTAATAATAGTATCAATCAGAATTGTATAAAATTTAACTTAAATGCTCTTTTTATATTAATATTTTATAGTTTCAAAGAAAAATAGATGCAATAATTTTTGAATCAATTTAAAGAGATAATTAATGTGAATGATATTATCCAGAAAGATGAAAATACTGCGATAGGATAAATTTACCTTTATAACCAATTTTCTCTTGAATTCGAGGATTTAGTCGAAAAGTTTACAACCACCTAAAGCATTTGTGGTTTCACATCAGTTGCAAATGCAATAGCTTTAAAATAAATAGGACCTTCAGTTGGATATGTTTAAGCTATTTAACACTTAAAGAAAAACTCTTAATTAAGAAGAAAATATGTATAAGATGCTATGATTTTTATTCAAAACAGCCGAAGAAAATACATTTAATCAAATTAATGGTTGAGTTCTAATGAAAAAGAGGGTACAAAATATTTGAAGGATTGGGTGGCTAATTATGAAATAAGCGATTATTTGAGAGAGAAGAAATTTGAAAATATCTTTTTTATAAGAAACGTAGCCTACGATCATCCTGAGGCGATGGAGAAACTTTAATTTGAGGAGAAGGACAGAATTGTGGAGGAAGCACCGTATAAGGGAGATAGCTACTTTGTAGATTATGGGTTCACTAAAGAATTTATTAGAAGGAAGGACTTTGAATATTCCTCTTAACACATCTATGTTATTGACATTTTGGGGCATTTCATTTGCAGTATAGTTTTCGAGGAGCAGGGGAAAAAGTTAATATTACTGTTAGAGACAATGGAAAATAATCGGCTGAATAACCAAACAATTAAGCAATTTTATAAGATTTGATATTCTAACTTATATAAAATATATATTAATATTATTAGTTCACACAATTATTTATTTGATTAAATTAATTAGACTAATTATTAGGATTGGCATAACTGCTTAATATTAGATAGATTTTGATGGTTATTAGTCATTGGTGATATCATTTAAAATAATTGTTAATTGTGTTAAACAATAAATGAAACATACTAAAATAACGCATGGCCATATTATAGAAGTGGCACAATCTGTGATGAGGGTTACGATATTGTAGGATATGGCAAATAGCAATAATGAAGTAACCCAAAACCAATTAAAATGTTATTGTAACTAAATTAATGCTGTAATCTCAGTGTAAATGATGGAAACATAATAAATAATGATGACTGCTACCCATTTTTTGGAGCCGTAATTATCATCGCATAATCCAGGTATGATGAAAATGAGGAAGGACAATAATAAAATCTTCCAAACAAAGAGTGGCAAAAATATTAATATAGGATTCTAGTTTATGAATCCATCGAGTTACAAACAGAGTAGGATTATGAAAATAGGCAATAATCCTAGAGTAGAATTTTGAGCTATTGCTAAAAATACTTTGGCGATTCTTGGGTATTACTATTAATCTAGTAAAATAAATATTAAATACATAGCCATTTGCTGCTTAAGATCCAAATGACGGAATCGCATACGAAAAATAGGAGTCCAATAATAATCCATTTGATCTAATATTCAATCCGAATTGCTATGATTTACAAAATTAAATAGATCGACAATGCTATGAATATTCGTATGCACTTGAACAATATCTCCTCCTATCTTCTTCCGATTTCGGATTCGGACCCTTAGAAGTCATCTCGATCTTGCATTATTCGTTTTTGTGAATAATATATTATTATATATTATTTATTCATATACCAAACAATTGCTCCTTTCCATTTCCAACATCCTCTGATTCCTATTAAACAATCAAAAAGAGAAGATCTTAATACAAAATCCACAATAACTAAACTTTAAAAATTAATTAAATACTTAATGTGAATAAACTGAAATTCAGTTCACTTCGAGAAAAACTAATTTCTTTATTTCATTAAATTAATAATTCTATTTGCAAATCTTATCAAGATAACAAAATATTTAGCAGTATATAAGTAAAAACATATTTCATTTGTATTTATTAAGATTTATGTCTCTCTTACACACTGGGCAATGTTTTTCCCTGGAGAGCCATTCCGAAATGCATTCTTGATGGAATACATGGCTGCACTCCAATTCGATTTCAACTGGATTTCCACTATCTTCTAGACAGATTGTGCAACTAAAATCTAAAACACTTCTTACCAATCATTGATTTGCTGTTTGATTTTGCATTATTTCAGTAGCAATTGAATTTGATTTAGGAGCAACCCTCTACTGACAAATCCCATCTTCTCTTACAATTCTTGCAATTGTTCATAGCTCATTTCATCAAGATCTACATTGTTTTACATTCTAGAGGGGTGAATAAATATAATAGAATACTAAGACAAACGGTTTTGGAATTCCATCTCCTCTTGCTATTGTAACATAAATGCTAATTGCATTGATTTCTCCTCTTCTGTCATTTCTTCCTAAAATTCATTTTGTGATTTTTCAACTGAAACTTATTCTTAATGCTCCTCCTCTATTTGAGGATTCTATTGATTCTATAATTGTTATTCTAATTCCTGAATTCTCTGTCTCAATTCATTAACAGTGTTTTTTAAATCATAATTCTCTTGGCGCAATTCATTTATTATGTCAGATTTAGATTACGACTTCTAATTGAATTTCTATATTTATTCAATGGGAATCTTGAAGAGCTTGTCCACCATTTCCTTCTACTTGGAAGAAGACTTCAATTAACTTAATTTGATTGGGTTGTCCATCTATTTTTTAACAATAAATTTATTTATAATTTATTACACTAAAACTCTAGTTTATTAATATTGTAATAAATGAACTAAAAAATTAATGAAAATCATTTTGGAATGAATATCTTGACTTCTCCATAATTTAAATATAATGTGAATTTTCCACTGGCGACTTTGATACAATCGGTTGTTGGATAGAAGATATTGCAAAGAGTTGTTCCTAATTATTACTATATTATCATACCCTCAGCATATGGATGATAGGTGATGGTCTTGACAACTTATCTGTCGTATTTACTTGAGAATGCAGCAAACAAAGTACCTCTGGTGAAGGCATAGATTTCAGAATCTGAATATCTTTGAATTTGATCTTGACTTCCTGCATTTGTAGTCTTACGTGCATTATTGATTGCTTGGATGAATTTGTACATTTCGGAGGATCTATTGATAAATTAAATTCTTACTAATCCAAATTACCCCACAAAACTTCTCTGTTTTATGGATCATTACCACCAGCATAGAGTTATTCACTACCATAGTAAATCATTGGGATTCCAACAGAAGTCAAACAAAATGCAGTGATGGCCTTGAATTAGAGCTTTTTGATAGCAGAAAAGGTCAAATGAGGTTTGTCACTTAAGAATACTTCATCTGGAATGTATCCTGAGACTTAGTCGTTTAAGAATCTTGCATTGTCGTGATTGTCATTGAAATTACCAGCGTATTGAATATTCTACTTACCCCAAGAGTTAGTTAAGCTGTTGTAGTAATTTTCAAATGTGTTCATATCTCTCCAATGAAGGAACACATCTCTGGCTGTGTAGAAAAGAGGATAATTCAATAGAGCATCGACTGGACCAACGAATTGTTTTAAGAAGTTCATGTCACCATCAAACACTTCTCCAACTGTATAGACTCCAGCAGCTTCAGAGAACTTATACCAGAAATCGATTTTGACCATCATGAGAGTGTCAATTCTGATTCCATCAAATTTAAATTCTTAGACTAGCCATTTGATCCATTATAATAATTATTCTGTAACAAATTGATTATCTTAATTAAGATCAGCCAGACCTGCAAGTCTACATCTTTCAATATTGTAAAGGTTGTGTGAGTTAAAATCGTTGTCTGTGATATCACACCAATCATGATAATGAGATGATTGATTGAAGGGGTTGTTTTAATTGAAATTTAGATTTGTATTTCCCATCTAATTTTGATCAAATAATTTACATGATTTGCCACAACATCAACCATAACCCATATATCTCTTTAATGGCAGGCATTGACAAGGGCCTTTAAATCATCAGCAGAACCAAAATTGCGATTGACACCATACATATCCCTGGCCCAATATCCATGATATCCACCATCATAATTATCCACTACAGGTGTAATCCAAATAGCATCGAATCCCAAATCTCAAAATGTTATTATATTTACTTTAAATATAATCTAGTTGTTGAATCATTCCTTTGTAGTCACCACCACAATAATTCCCCAAATTGCAAGAAGTAGACTTGCCCTGGCTTGTAGCAAATCTATCAGTGAGCAATTGATAAACTGATCTACTCTTCCATTCTTCTTTAGTTTTACAATGGATGACTACAACTAGAACAAACAAAGATAATAACAATCTCATGAATTAAATTTAATGATGTCACAAAAGTAATATTTCAGGTGCTATTTTTATATATAATATAATGCATATTATAAATCAACATTGTATAATATACCAATTTATTAAAATAACACTTCATTTTCCTAAGAATTCAGATTTTTTTCTGGCTTAATATCATTAAAACCTATAAAATTAAATAAATCTATTCAAAAATCTTATTCATACATATAGTTCCAATCAATTAGACATAAAATCATATGTAATAAATCAGCAAATCTAACACAAATTACTTATAAACATGATATTTATATGATTTATCTGTTATTATTTAAGTAAATGTCCTTGTATCTATTATTATTATTATATTCTATATTAATAAGCAAGAATTTATCTACCACGCATTTAAACATAGAATCAATTAATTATATAATATGAATAACTATTGGTTAATACTACGACACTTTTAATAAGATTTGAACTAAAAATATTGTTTTATTGTAATTTTGTAATTCATATCTTATATAAATATGTGGTATAAATTATCATAACATTTGTAAGTTTTTCTTAGCCTTTCGAACATCCCCATAAAATATGTCTTTTGGAAATCGTTTTAAAACTCTCAATTTATTATACTGTAATCCAAATGAAAACTGCATTATATCTTCCTCCTTTGTCATATTTATTTAACTATAATTAAACTATTGTTTCGATACTCCAATTTTGTATCACTATAATCTTGGATCTATTAAAATACGGATCTTCTTAATGGAGTCACATCGTCAGATCTTGTATAATTACTTCTTCGATTTCTCAATTAGTAATAGTTGATTTAAGGGTTCTCATCCATCTTATTTGGAGTCGACAAGCCCTTATTAACATTCCCTTAAACTACTAGTAATTGTTACTTAAATAGTTGCTTGACTTTCTGAGAATTTAAATTTGTAGATCAGGTTAACTAGATTGTTTGGAATGATCGCAATCATAGATTTCTCTATATACTATATATATTAGAGAGAAGAAACCTTCCTTAATTAACTTTAACTGCTTTTAATCGATTCCCTTTATTAGTTGCAATACGATTATTTAACGCATTCAACTTACTGTTCTGAATCTCACCTTTATCTACCTTATCAATCTCAATTTATACTTAAAAACATTAAAATCTCGTTAGGGTAATTATTAGACTCATTAGGTTTATCAATCTCAGTTTTGATTCTTTGATGAGAAGTGACAGATTTTTTGGATTTGTGTATTTCATGAACATCAATCGAAGTTTTCAAATAATGGTTAGATCGATCAGGATGATCTATAAAATGTTAAAGTATCAAATAAAACTTCTAAAGAGATTCACAACTTTGGGTTGGCTTTAATTTTTATGAGTGAAGTTCTAGTACATTTTGTTTGGTGGTTCTCCACCTCTGCATTTATTTGCACTTTGTGTTTTTCTAAAATCATTGTTAACTGCTACTTCCAGAGGAAATTGATATTACATTATAAAATAATTGATTAAGTTATTATAATCTAAAACTCACTCTTAAATAATATCATTCAATTTTCAATTTAACTTACTTTCAAAGAATTCTATCATTTTTTCCCTTTAAGTTTTCTAAGTGGCATTCTCTATCTTATTTTATGGATACTCATTCGAAAGTACATTCAAATACTGTCCAATCCCATCAATGAATCTATTATTTCATACTTAATCTATTTACTTGTAATCCTCAAATAGCTGTTGTCCATTGAAAATAGATCCAGTTAAAACTTATTCTTTATTTTACCTATTTCCAATCATCTGACTGATTTATAATTAGAGTTGTTGGTTTTATTATTCACTAATATTTTCCAATATATTCGTGGAAGTATTATTACTTAAAGGGTCTAATTATTATAAAAATGTTTCATTAGAACCAGAATTAAAAGTTCGAACCTCCAAATTGTAATGTTCGAATAAGTTTAGAATGTTTAAGGTTTAAATTTATGTTCCCACAGCCCCAACAATTGAAGTCTTATTACAAAATATTTTATCTCCCATACACAATAAATAAAATGCTCCTGATAATGCATAGTCTTCTGCAAACGTATACAATGGAATATTGTGCTTTTTTCTAACTTAATCAAATTTTCTTTGTATGATATGAGCATGTGCTAGACTACCTCCAGTTGAATTGATTATCAAAGCAATTGCCTTAGAGTTTTCTGGATGGAATTTTTTTAATGCTTTATAAACCTTATAAGTCCTAAGAATTTCTTGAATTTTTACATAGAGCTGGTTATTTAACCCTACAGACAAAAGAATGAGACCTTTTTATATTTTTCTGTGTCTCTTCCAATTAATTTTAAGAATTTATACATTTAAATATATTATAATTTTCATTCATTTAATTCTGCTACTAGAGCAGTTCCTCTCTTAACCCTATGACTGATATTTAATTAGGTTTTTATTAAATATTCTTAATATATGAATAGAATATTGCGAAATTAGTAGAATGTACTATTATTGATAATGTACATCTTCTATCAAAAGTTTTATATACATTAAAAATGTAATCATATAGATTCTAAAAAATGTTGAATGTATATTATTAATAACTTTTCATTCATATTTTTTCTTATATGCCCTTTGTATTACCATTTCAATACTACAAGATCTCACTCGTAACTCCTACAACAAATAAATATTATAATTTACTTTGCATAAGGTAGACACTATGTAGATTATAGTAAAATACTCTCTCTTCACTTTGCCTTCCAATTATAAAAACTCCTTTCAATTTCTATGGAAATTTTCATATTATAAAATAATAAAATGCTTAAATTTCTTGAGAATAGAGATCATTAACCTACGAAGAGAGGAAAGGACATAATGAGATATGAGAGCTCAAGTCATCTTCCAAACAATCGATAATTTAATAGTCCCTTACATCAAGATGCCTTAATCTAAAATGATAAACCTACATATTACATTACTAAAAAATTACCTCCTGTTCAAATCTATAATCCTCTAGTTCAAACCACAGATTCAGTCGAAAGACCAGAATATATTATTAAACAAAAGGACATCTACATTCCAAGATATCTGAATGAATATAAGACCAAGGGTTTTAAGAAAAAATAGGGAATATTTGAGTCTTACTAGCATTTATTAGCTCAGAATAAATCATTGATATAAGGTATTCATAGTGATAAAAAACCATCATCACTGCCTCCCATTAGAATTCATAAAAAAGAATAGTCTACATTGAATATACCTGCATAAATTTCAACCAGAAGTTACTAAAATTAACAAGTTGATTAACGTTGCTTTAAGAGTATATCTTAAAACATTTATTCTGTCAATAATAGATCTATTGATAGCATATAGAAATAAGCTGTGCAAATCAAAAATACCACTTAACAAAAATAAAGAAATTCTCATAAATTATTGACTGAAAACAAAGGTATCCAAGTCAATTTTGAAAAAGACTTAAGTCATAAAATAACAGAATTCTCAGAAGATTAAACTTATAACTTTAATTTTTAGTATCAATAAAAATAGGAAGATTAAGAAGAAAAGGAAAGACAGATGAGATAATTAAGTATTTTTGATAAGAAAATCAAAGAGTTTAAAGAATAATAAAAATTGAAATTATACAAAAAAGAAGCTTCTTGAAATAATCCTATTGATTATTATGATAATAGTAAATTGATTATTCAATACATTTTCTTTTAATAAACTGCTAATAATATTAATTTTTACACTTGTTATTAATCTTATCAACAAATATTTTATTCTAATCTAATCTGTTAGAAGGATTAATTCTATTTATTTGATTTAAAAGTTAAGATTTAGTTATCAATAACTATAATTAATACAATTTGTGTATATATAAATATATAATTATAATGTTTGTGTTTGAATATGAGTAAGTTCTTTAAAAATTGTTTCTTTTTAACAAATTTTTATTAAAATATTTCTAGAAGCTCAATTACTAAGATTGATCAAGTGTAAGTTTAGTTGTATTTGGTATTTTTTCAAAGAACATATTTCTTTATTCTAAATCTTTACATAAAATTGGTAGCAACTAAAACATGTTAAAAATAAATGATTCATTTGATACTGTGCTTGTTGGATTATAAGAATTCATAAAGAATTTTGATGAAAATTTAAAGAAAATTTGTCCAATATCGATAATTTATATTTGCTTGCAATTATTGAGGATTAAATGTACATTCAATATAAAATTAAATCCCATAATAATTTTAACAGAAGTGTTGAATTAATGAAATTTTCGAATCCTAAGAAACTCTCAATTCATTTAGATTTCGCATCATTCAAAGCTGAATTTTAGAATTCTTTACCCTCTTCAACTAAAAAAATAAGCACTCAACCTAATAGTCCAAATGGGATTGCCAAAAATATCAAAACTCAATAACCTTTGATACTAGTGTAAAACTCTCTTTCAAGCTAAAATTTATTGTCTCCTTAATAGAAGAAGTCTACAGATTTCGAAAGTGCTTTCAGCAAATTCCCTCTTCTTGTTGATTAATTTGTTAAGCTTTATAATTTAAGCAAAAGTGAAACTGGTGAATTGGCAGGGATAAAACAAGTAATTGATCTTGAAATTTTAGGTCTATTATTATAAGCCATAGAAGGTATCTCCAGAAGGACCAAATGGTGACTATCTAGCTCATCCTAAGGATCATATTCGATACCAATATGAAATCATAAAACAAATAGGATCTGGAAGTTTTGGACAGGTATTCGAAGTATTGGATCATAAAACCAAACATACGGTTGCTTTAAAAATAATAAGAAATTAAGACAATTTAAAAAAGTAAGCATAGGTTGAAACGAATATTCTCCTTACAATTTAAGCTAAAGATCCTATGGGCCTCTAATCTATAGTTAAATTGTAGGATCATTTTACATTTAGAGGACATTAATGCTTGGTCTTCGAGAAGTTGGAATACACTTTATTTGAATTGCTGAAATATCAATTATTCAGAGGATTTGATTATGAAACATTAAAGAAGATAGCCTATCAAATAGTGAAAGGCCTGACTTTTTTAAGGTAATGTAACATCGTTCATTGTGATCTAAAACCAGAGAATATTATGATTAGTGATATGCAATAAAAAGTAGTAAAAATAGTGGATTTTGGAACAGGATGTTTTGAAGGTAATTAATTTTATACTTATATTTAAAGTAGGTATACAATTTAAAATATATTAGATATTATCGAGCTCCTGAAGTATTTTTTGGTTTAAAATATGGTTATGAAATAGACATGTGGAGTCTGGCATGCGTGATTGCTGAACTTCATACTGGGAAGCCTTTGTTTCCTGGAGAAAATGAAGTGGACCAATTTAATCTGATAATGGAAGTCGTAGGTATTCCAAAGGCTGAATTTGCTTTGAAATGCCCAAGAAAAAAGATGTTCTTTGATGACTCAGGACACCCTAAGAAAACAATCAAATAATATAGAAAACCAAAATCGATTAACTTGAATGAATTACTCAAGACAACTGAAGAAGACTTTGTTGATTTCATACAAAAGTGTTTAGTTTGGGAACCTGAATTAAGAATCAGAGCTAATGAAGCTATATAACATCCTTGGATTAAGGGATTAGCCTTATAAGAAAAAAATAAGGTCATTTCCTTTCGTAACTTTAAAGAAAACTAAATAAATAGGATAACATAATAATAGCTTAAGGAATCATTCGACAAGAAGATAATGGGTACAATAGAGAAAACCAAAGCTTTAATTGCTCATAATAAAAATAATAGTTAACCTGCATTATTAAATAGTGCTAGGAATCAAGAGTTATCTAGTTTTAGATAGAGATAATAGATGGTTTAATCTATTCATTAAATACTAAGATAAACTAATACAAAAAAGAGTTCATTCATCAGGAAACCATCTATCGAATGAAAGATAGAGTGAATTTAATTTTATAAATACTCTATAAAAATAGTATAATTAACATCAAATATAATCATAAATGATAACTAAATCTATATAAAGGATGAGATTAGTTTTTGAGTTCTGTTCGTATTAATTTAGTAAGCATTTGATTTTATTTAAGATAGGGTGTATTTTAATTTTTCAATGATCTACTACTTAATTGAAAACCAATTTTATTTTCATAATGATTAGTAATACACCTGCTGATTTTGTTGATTGGAAGTGTTGGAAATAAGACAGAATTTCTTTAATTACCAATAGAAGAAGATTGAGGAGTTGTTATTTAGAGATTAAAAGTGAGAGCTCTATTACCATTCATTAACATTTTTAACTATTCAGATTTTCCAGCTAAAAATTAATTCATTTTACAATCTTAAACTTTGAAATATTTTTCTTTATCAAGCTCTATTTAAGATTTATGATTTGATTTTATAGTAATGTATTTAGGAGGAGTCTTGCATGAAGGTGGCCTTTCCATGTTATCATATTCTTAAATTAATGAGAATCATTACCAACAATTGTATCTTGTTTAGTTAATTTCCTTAGCAGACTAGGTTTTCTTGTAGTTCTTTTTTACTTCTTTCTTTCTAAAATATCAGCAAAACTAGTCAAAGCAAATCGTTAACCATCAATTTAATGATGTTATTAAATTTGTGTTGGCAGATTGGAAAATTATTTTGCTGCCATTTCACCAAATGTATCTCCATATGCAGATTTTCTCCTTGGTTATTATTATTATCGCATTAAAGCTATTTTTTCAATTACATTCTTCAATGGTTTTAAATTTATAATTTTCTTACTTTTTATTTACTTTTCAGTTTGAATAGGATTTAAGGTATTGTCATCTTTTTCTCCCTTTAATAAACGAAAACAGTGTATTAATGAATTTTTTTTTGTTGGTTTCTTTTGGTAATCAAATAATTAAAGTTTTTAAGATTTTGCAGTTATACACTATTATAAAACCAAATGACTGACTCTTCGGGAATTAGATTAAAATTGAGGATAGTCACTTTATTCTATTTATTTCAGAAATAATACATAGGGAAATCAAGCATGAAATAAATAATTAAAATTAAATATAATATTTAATATCAACCTTTACGCTTACTTAGTCTCCATGCGTTTGCATCTCCAAACTTGCAACTTAATGGATCGAGTTTCTCTGATTTCTTTGTTTTTGAGAGTTATCCCATTTGATTGTGAGCCTTGAAATAATTTTCAGCAACTTCAATAAGCCATCTAGGTTCTAAAAGAAGGTTATAATTATATGATACCTATTTCACATACTTCTCTCATATACTCTTTCGAAGTCATGACTAGCTCATGATACACACACCACAACGGTCCTTTGTTAAATAATGCACTACTAGGATGGATATAGACTTATTGATTATCAGATAGAGTTTTATATCCTTCAGCTTAATCCTAAAATTGAGAAGATGTCATACTTTCTTAGCAACATGGAAGAAATAACCAGCAGTAATAGCTTTTCTGATTTTCCAGAAGTCCTTCCCACAAGAAGTAATTTAGAACTTATATCTTTCCATAATTTATAATAATTGTTTTCTAACATCTTAAGCTCTTCTCATGGATCTTGCTTAGATATAATTTTCATGACACCACACATTACTAAAATTGTTCTTCTTCCAATGCTCATAGACTGTTAACAATGTTAAATGATCACCCTCTGGTCTATGAAACCTGGCCTTTTTCTGATCTGCTAATTGTTATCTATCTTTTGGCCTGTAGAAAATATTTGGTTCTGATAACATTGCTATGATTGTAATGATTTCATCCACACATCCCAGATCAACTGCAGTCAATAACATTTTGGCTTGAGGTGGTTCCAAAGGGAATTCTGCCATCTTCCTACCTACTTTTGTTAGCAATCCTTCATCATCCAAAGCTCCCAATGCATACAATTATTCCATAGCTGCAATCATAGTTTGAACAGGTGGAGGATCCATAAAGTCAAAATTCAATAGGTCATGTATTCCCATAGCTTTTAATAATAAAATTGTATTTGCTAAATTAGTTCTCTATATTTCAGGTACTGAAGTGGGTAACATTTCTGTATTAAATGCTGATTCAGTATATAATCTATAGCATTTTCCTGGGCCAGTTCTTCCTGCCCTCCCAGCTCTTTATTATGCAGATGCCTAACTGATTGGAGCAATAATTAATGAATCCATACCCAATTTTGGATTATATACCTTGATTTTAGAGAACCCTGGATCAACCACATAATAAATTCCATCGATAGTGATTGATGCTTCAGCAATATTAGTTGCTATAACAATCTTTCTGGCTCCAGTAGGGGCAGGATCAAAAATCTTCTGTTGTAATTCTGTGGGTAAAGCAGAATAAACAGGTAAGATAATCAATTCAGGAGCATCTGGACCCAACTTCTTCATTCTCTCGTGAAGCACTTAACATGCTGTGTCTATTTCTTCTTGTCCTGTTAAAAACAATAGAATATCACCAGCTGGTTCTTCTAAATGAATCTAAATTACACACAATTAGGCAGCTTCTAAATAGTCTTCTTCAGGTTCATTTGTGAAAAACACTTCAACAGGAAAGTTACGTCCTGGAATTCTAAATATCTTACAATTAAAAAAATAAGAAGAAAACTTTTCAGCATCCAAAGTGGCTGATGTTACAATTAATGTGAAATCGTTTCTTTTAGCAACAACTTATTTTAATAATCCAAATAACACATCAGTATTAATTGTTCTCTCATGTGCCTCATCTAACATAATAACACTATATTGACTCATATCTTTATCTATTAATGCTTCTCTTAATAACATTCCATCTGTCATATATTTAATAATTGTATTAGGACCTGTGCAATCTTCAAATCTTATTGCATAACCTACTTCATCTCCTAGTTACACTCCCATTTCTTCAGCCACTCTTTTTGCCACTGACATTGCTGCCACTCTTCTAGGTTAAGTGCAACCTATCTTCATTCCATTTCTACCATATCCAGCCTCCATTAAATATTATGTGATCTAAGTAGTTTTACCACTACCTGTTTCTCCTATTACTATGAGAATACGATTCTCTTTAATGGCAGCCAACAATTCATTCTTGAAATTATAAATTGGTAAAGATTCTCTCCATTCTTTAATACTCATATGTGTTCTATTTCTTACACTTGATTTGAACATTGCTTCTTTCTTCCACTCAGGAATTTCTACTTACATCTAATTCATATTTCCTGAAATCTAAGCTAAAGGATCCTCTCTGTATTTATCTCTATTCTACTCATTTATTGCTCTTTATTGTTATTCTCTCATTTCTCTCCTTTCCCTTGCCAACTATTAAGCATGTAAAGCTTCTCTTTATAAAGTCCCTTCTGGATTTTTCACAACTCTAATTGGTGATAAATTTATCCCTGCCTTCGTTGTTTATCCCTTTAAAAAAGGAGGTTCATAATCATTCATATCTATTTCCAAATCTTCTGAGTCTGAAACAAAACCTTCTGACTCTGAATCTTCCACAATAGCTTTATTGTCTATCTAACGAACTAATTTTGAATTGTATTCCAATCTAGTCTTCTCCCATAAATCTGGAGATGCTATTCTCTTAGCTTTCTTTTTACAAGCATCCTATGCTAAATCCAATTTGACTCCTGTTATTGCTCCATATCTATTATTATCCTTACTCTACTCCTATTATTTAATCACTTGATCATATTCATTCATTGCCTTAGCTTTCTTCTCTATCTCTTAACCACTATTTTAATCCACATCTCTCATTGACAATGATATTTTTTCATTCACAATACTAATCACTTTCACAAACACCTTCTAATTTCTTTTCAAAATATCAAAAGGATTGGTCACTCTTTTCTCTCTTATATTGGAAATATGGACTAAGCCTTCCTTTCTGCCTTTAAAACCTGCTATCTACACAAACACTCCAAAATCCTGCACCTTTGTTACTACACCCTCATATATATGTCCCTTCTCGATATCTCTATGAGTCCTCTGTGGGGATGAAGATGGCTCCTTTTTATCCTTCTTCTCCTTATCTTTTTCCCTCTCCTTTTCTTTATCCTTGTCCTTATTTTTGTCCTTCTTCTTTTTCTTATCCTTCTTCTTCTTCTTGTTTTTTGATAATGATCTTGATCGTGATTACTCTTCCATATCCTCTAATTAAACCACTTCACGATTTGGTAATGCTAATCCAGGGAATTTCTATTCTTTCACTACCTATTCTATTTATGGTGGCTGTTCTACTTCCTTTTTTTCTTGAGGAGACATCTTCTTGATGATATTGAATAAAGAATTTGTAAACTGATCTGTAAAATCAGCTTTTGCTGCATCCAACTTTTATTTAAATTCCTTTTCATCCTTACTTTGTCTACCTAAATCAATAATATATTCAGCCAACACCTTGTCCTTTATCCCTGTATGATTCTCTAATTCTTACAGCACTCTTGAACACAAAGAAATATACTATAATTGTAGTAACTAATTCATTACTTTTATTAGTTTCTACTTTAATCTTAATATTCATAAATTATATTAAACATTCTTGAATTGAAGTAATAATAAGAGCAAAACATAAGCCAAAAAGGTGCAGAATATTTCATATTTTATTGATATCATATTGTAGAGAATAAGATAGTCTTCGGATAAAGAAGATAGTACAAAAGTCATTGGAAAATTATTTTATCTCTTATTCTAAATTATTAAGATAAAGATTGAAAAATAGAGATCAAAAGTTAGCAGTTATTTACAAATGTATTAAATCTGATCATTTTGTTATATCTTGACATATTTATATACACTAATTTTGAGAACTCAATTTATATGATACTCTTAAAAATACTCAAATCCTTAGATTATAATTTATTATTAACTTAATAATTATGGAGATCATAAGACATTATGAGTTTTTATTTTCGCATAAAAAGAAGAACAATAAGTAATGGAATAAATCATTAGAATATCTTTACGACATCATCTCCTTATTAGTTCCTATAGTAGTGATTGATTTATATCATTTTAATTCAATTTAGATAAGACATCACTAAAAAAAACAGCATTTGAATTATTAATATAATTATATTATTTACAGATAAAACTAGAATTAAAAATAATGGCAGAGATTAAAATTAGTAATCAAACGAAGGATAGGACAGCTGCTTGTAAAGCCTATATAGAAAGGAAGTATAAAAGTTTAATTACAAATGAGAGAGAAAAAATGTAAAATTGGCAGTAATTGTAATCAGTATTACAAAATTTAAATTTTACATCTATCGAATAAGAGTTAATTAAGAAGGAAATTCAACACAAGGAAGCAATGCAATTAAGAAAGAAGTTAATATGAATCTATAATATTGTAGGAGACAAAAAATAACAGTGGATGATTTTGAATCTATTGCCATAATTGGAAGAGGAGCATTTGGCGAAGTGAGAGTTTGCAGATAGAAAGATACAAATGAAATAGTTGCGATCAAGAAAATGAAGAAAAAAGAAATGCTATTCAAAAATCAATTAGGACATGTAAGGGCTGAGAGAGATATTTTGGTTACATCAAAATGTTAATGGATAGTAGAACTGAAGTCTTCGTTTTAAGATGATGAAAATCTATACTTAGTAATGGAGTTTCTAAGTGGAGGAGACCTTATGACCTTATTAATAAAGAAGGATATCATTCCAGAAAGAGATGCAAAATTCTATATAGCTGAGTTAGTTTTAGCTGTTGAGGAAATCCATAATATGAATTATATTCATCGAGATCTGAAACCAGATAACATATTAATAGATGCGCAAGGTCATTTAAAATTATCTGATTTTGGCCTCTGTAAACATTTGGGCTAACATTATGATATGGCTGTTCCCTATACTATGAATAACACTGCTGTGGATTAAAAGAAACCTAGGAATGAATAGAGAAGATAATTAGCGTTTTCAACAGTTGGGACACCTGACTACATAGCCCCAGAAGTCTTTTCATAATAGGGATACAATCAATTGGTTGATTGGTGGAGTGTAGGAGTGATACTATTTGAAATGGTTATTGGATATCCACCTTTTTATAGTGATACTCCATAAAAAACGTGTTAGAAGATTTTAAAATGGAAAAATCATTTCAAATTTCCAAATAATCCAAAAGTATCTCCTTAATGTTATGATCTAATTACCAAATTGATGACAGACGTAAATGATCGATTAGGGGATGCTAGTAAGATCAAAAAACACCCATTTTTTAGTGGAATTGATTTTAATAATATTAGAAATCAAAAAGCACCTTATATTCCTGATAAAAAGGTGTTGACTTCGAATTTTGATAAGTTTGAAGAGAAAGAACCTTGGAAACATGTAATTCATAATAGAGAGGAGTCGGATTAGGAGAAGAACGGATCCAATTTAAATAAGAAGTATTTTCAAGGATACACCTATAAACGCAATTGTGATGCGGAGATGAGTCCTGTGAAAAGAGCTTTGGAGGAATTAGAAAATATCAAACCGTCAGGGATTAAGGCAGATTTTGAAAAGAAATAACGATCTCAGTCTCCAAAACCTATAAATGCTCCTCCTGAATTCAACAAATCTCAAAGATCCTAATCTCCAACGATAAAGGAATAACTCAAAAATACATACATGTAATATATTGGGTAATATTTATCACCTCTTAACAAACAAAAATAGTAATAGAAGTTATAAAAATGAATACAATTGATATTTTAATAAAAGAATAATCATTTCTCTGAATTTCTGAGTTAATATTTTCTTTTTTACTTTAATTATTTTTCTTTTAGCAATTGAATCTGTTCTTCAGTCTACTTAATCCTTTTTAATTACTCATCCTCATTGTTGTCTTTCATGACTCTTTTCTCTTTTGATATGGCAGGTAGTACAGGTAAAAATGGAGATGGAGATTTTTCCTCTTATTGATGTTTGACACTTAAGATATGTAGATATTATATACTTTTTAATTAGTAAAGGTTTAGGTTCGCCTTCGATATCTAGTTTCTTTTAGACCAACTTTTGTTATAGTATTTGAATTTCGGGTTTCATAGGTTTTTTATTTTTCTTAACAGCCTTAACTGGATTGCCAGCATAAATCTAGTGAATGAGACTGAGTTTTTCAGTATTTTTAGTAGCCTAAGATGCAATTTCCAGGGATGGTTTAGGTAAAATGTATGATTCATCAACTTTATTCTATTTTTTACTTAGAACAGATGAAGCATCATATGATTAGATTTAAGAGTCATCCAGTCTGCGGCCAATCCTTGGTAAATGTTCAACATTGGAATTGGTTAGAGGATCTTCCACATTTTCTTGGCTTGATTTTTGGACGGCCAAAGTTTGGATGAACTGATTTTTGTCAATTCTCATCATTTTAATAGGGGCATAATTAGGTTTTGGCAATCTGTCAGTGAGATAATGCATGACTCTGGGAACTCGAATAGTTTGCAATAGGAATTTTGCTCCTTCTTCTTCGATTAAGACCTTATCATCCATTCTATTAACAACTGCTGACAATTATAGGATTTTATCACAGGATGGCCTCAAATGAGGTTGGACCTAAAGCAAAGCTCTAATAACATTGCTTAGATCTTAACTATATATAGTTGGTATTTTTGGATAATAGCCTCTCACGACTTTCTTGTAAAGACCATTCATATCTTCAGCTCTAAAGGGAGGTTTCAGGGTAGTCATTTCATAAAGGACACAACCCAAGGACCAGATGTCAGATTTGGAATCGTAAGGTTGATCCTTCCAGACTTCTGGGGATGCATAATAAGGTGTTCCAGTTTAAGTGTATAGTAATATTTTTTTGGCCACTTTGGATACGTTCATATCTCCCAATTTGACAGTTCCATCGGTATTCAAGAAGACATTGGCTGATTTCAAGTCTCGATGATAGATTTTCATATCGTGCAATGCCTTCAATCCCTTAACTATCTTAAAGTAGATGATTGAATTACTTATGTAAAGTGGTTCCAAATGTCTTTCTCAGCCATTAGCATTCCTTTTTTTTAGCATTCAACAATCTTTTAGAACAAGTCTCCATCGTCTGCATACTCCATTACAATACTATTTAGAAACAATAGGTTATACCATAAGCTCTGAGTAGATTCTTCTAAAAATGCCTCCTTATACTAAATTACATTGGCATGCCTGACACTTGCTAATATTCTAACTTCATTCAAAGCGTTTTATTTTTCTTTGTCTGATAATGATTGTAGTTTCACTTTCTTTAAAGCGTATTCAAAACCGTCAGCAATTCGTCTTACTTTATACACTTTCGAGTATGCTCCCTCGCCTAATTTCGTGATATATTTTACCTAGTTCTTACAGAATCTAAAAGTCTTTCAAGGACATTTCTACTTTTTATTTATATATATAATTATTTATACTATATTAAAATTTATATTTATCATAAATTTTAATCACTCTAATCCATTTCATTAAAATGTTATTTGTTTAAATTCGGAGAATTAATTCCCTATTCATTCCTGAATTAGATCTCTTCATCATTCTCTGTGATATCATTCACCTCATCGTAATCGATTGCAAAGTTCGTCTACAATTTCAATTGCTACTTTCCCAACAACGTCTAATCATCCTTGGCTTAATCGATGGTCTAATTAATAGGATCTACTTCCTAATTCATTATCATCATTCAATACATCATATGATTCATTGCGATTCCTATCATAAACATACGACTCTCCATTTCTTGTATATCTGATCTTCTCTGATCTGATGTATTGTTTCCAATATTCCCCCACTGGTCTCACATCATCAAATGTACTAAGCAATTATAAAAACGGTATTAAATCCAATAATTCAGTGTCACTTGGGTCATCAAAGTAGTTTTTTATGTGTATAGCATTCTTAGGTTATAGGGAAAAAGAAGTGTGGGTATTATCTATTATTATTATGTTGTTTATTGATCTCTACAATTTCGATAAATCTTTCACAAAGACTCCATTCAATATTGAACAGTTTGGTCTGAACAATCTCAAAGCACAAACTCCCTTCTGATCTATTCTATCTATCACAGGGTTTGCATACTCAAATATATTTATTAATATACTTCACAAATACTAGCTGTAAATATAAAGATTTCATAAAATTCAGCCATTTTTATTAGGAATTCTTCAGCACCAGGCCTTATTCTAACATAAATTGTATAATTTGCATTCATTACTTTTATCTCTTAATAAACATAATTCAAACCTTCAAAATAAAATCCGGATCTGAAATATAATTGAAAGAACTATGAACCAAAGTTTCATCCAAATCGATCACCAATGTCTTTCTGCCCATATGTTAAAGGGATTGTTTTGGAATTGCTATTGGCTTTTAATTATAGGTCACCGGCATAAATCTATTAAATTAAAATCCCGCTTACTATTTGAAACATTCGCATTTGATAAGGGACTTCAACGTGTTATAAAACCCAACTATGGCATTTTGCTTAGGTTCCTCTTATACTATGATATTGTTTGCTCTCATAATTTATTTATATTTTTAATTTAATATATTATCATCCAATCTTACAAGTAACAATGTCATCATCCTTAACACCAACAACTGAGGAATTATATGATTCATTGAAACTAACAGACATCGCTAAGTCCAATTAATCAACAGAACCCTCGCCCAGAAAATATGTCAAAGTAATTTCATAATTAAACCAACAACAGATAGAAGATTATGTGGATGTCCCTTTAGAAATTGCAGATTCATTTACTGTAAATAAAAATATCCTTCCTATCCCCTTGAAATAACCGATATAACCTGCGGCAGTTTCATCTCAAGGCCAAAGAATTCTTATTAATCCAAAACTGAAAATTGTAATCAAATTATGTCATTTTCATTTAGAAAATGCTGAATCTTTACATCTCACAAGCTATTATTCAAGAGGAGGACAATATTTTTAATTGCACTCAATTACAGAAATGAGAAATCCTTATAATTTTTTGAATTTGAATACTATAGATCAATAATATGAATCTTCACAAACTATTAATTAGATTATTAATGGTATGTATTTCCTTTATTCTTAATTTAGTAATTAATTTGCTTATTTCAATTGTTCGCTCTCCTAACTATTCTCTAAAGTCTGATAGGCTCTCATGAAAGAGTCTAAGCCCATTTACTATTCTAAATAATATCTGAGAGCCTCTATTTTATACCCTATAGTATCTCTTTCAGAAGTCCCCGGAACTTGAAACTGTTTTTGGTGGTTAAGAAATCTATAAAAATGTAACTGATAAATGATTACTAAGGAACTATTTTAAAGTTGTCAACAATGATGGACTCTTCTTCCTCCTTTGATTATTTTTTATCCAAACATTTCCTCATGTCTTTAATAAGGAACTTATAACCCTATTATTATTCAAAACTGTCATCTTCTCTTACTAAGCTTACAATGGATTCCTTTCTTTTTTGTTCCTGTAGTATTGGACTCTTACTTTAAAGTCTAACTATATTCGTGTTGTCCTTTAAATAAAACTTGTTTAACAGTTCTAAGTTTTAATATTTAATTGGATGTTATTGATTCTCCTTTGAACTAATTACACTAGCAAAAGACTGTGGTTTATCACTTTTTTCATCAATTAGTTATTGCTATTATTATTAAGAATGAAGTGGTTATTATTGTATAGAATAATTTTAATTTATTGCTTACAAAGGTGAGTTTTGTCTATTGAACAATTATTTTAACTCCACTTTGCTATTGTCCTTTTTGGGCGAAGGTTTCTTGCTGGCAACAGTTTAAATAATCTATCTCGAAGTGATAGGTGAATTATTTTAACTTTAATTTTAAGATATCTTATTCTATTCAAACTATTTTTACTGTAAGATAAATTATTGTGCAGTCTATTGAGGTTGAATAAATCTAAAAAGTAAGATGAGTATGTTACAGATTTTCAGTAGGTTTAATCTCAGTCATCTCTTGCAATTCATGTCGATTCAAAGTGGAAACGAGCAGACTTCCTATTCTCTATTTTAAGAAATCCCTCTCTAGAATTCTCTTTATACTAGGTCTCTTTGATGGATCCTTAATCAACATATCAGCTATTAACGATTGTAATTCTGAAGAGTATTGTGATGGAATAGGAGGGTAAGTTCCTCTTAAGATTTTTAATACCAATTCTTTCATTGACAATGCATCGAATGCGTGATTCAACGTAGTTAATTCATACAAGATGCACCCTAGTGACCAGATATCTGATTTCTAATTGTAAGGCTTTTCTTAACAAATTTCTGGACTTAAATAATACGGAGTTCCTATTGCAGTTTTTGCACAATCATATGTGTGTTATAGAACACGTGCAATACCAAAATCTCCAATTTTCACATCGCTTTTGCTTGTGAGGAATATATTTTAAGTTTTCAAATCTCTATGTAAAATTTTCCTCTCATGTATGTGATTCATTGCCAGTGCCATCTAAACAAACCAATCTAATATTTATTCCTCAGAAAAGAGTATTCCCAGCTCTTTTTGTTTAGCTATTTTGCCGTACAAATCACCTCCGTCAGCATAATCCATTACTATACATAGACATCTATCAAAGGTTTCATGAAGAAATAATACTTTTTCTCCATAAATGATTCTCTATATGTGATTATATAAGGGTGTCTCATGGCCTTCAACACGTGGACTTCATTTAATGCCTCCTCTCTTTATTTTCTGTCCATCTTAGATATGTCAATAATCTAATTTAAATCATATGATACTTTGATTATATAATTTTTCTTATTCGATAACGCCTAGGCTAGAAGGGCATATCCAAAACTACCTGATTTATTTTATCATAATACCTTTTCCAACTACTCTAATCTTTTTGTATTTATCCATCTGGTTTAAATTTAAAATTTAATTATATTATCAATTATAAAATACTGTTAAGAAACAATAATATTGTACAAAATGTGAATCTGCTCCAATATAAATGTAAAGTTAAAATCCAAAATTAATATCCTTAATACTGAACCTCACTCATCCTTTAGGAACGTAAATTGAACATTACACATGGACTTCATGTCGATTGCATTTTAAATTATTTTATAAGAATTCAATTGAGATTAAACATAATGCTTCTAAGATAGCCAAACTGAGTTTAAATAAAATTGATTCAATATCATTTGCTATTGATAAATATATATTATATTTAATAATGGAAAATTATAATTTCTCTGCTTTATCTATATCTATATAAACAGATGCCCAGTCTTCCTAATCAGGTAAACAATTTAGCAGTCCCTTGAAATCCGATAAAACTAACTTTTTAGATTTAGATAATCAAAAACAAATTAATGATTCTGCTCAATTCTCCCAAGTTGATATTTCTATCTAGAAAGATTGCGAAGAGAAGGCAGCTTAGACTTCGGAATAAAAATCTAATAGTCTTTGTGAATCGCAATTAAAATAGACCAAGGTATCTTAGAATAAAAAGAAATTAGCAAAGAGATGTTAAACAACACTTTTGATTGGACAATCTATTCACAAACACAACTCTTAGAAGGCTGAAAAATATTTCATTAAAAAAAACAATCAGATTATAGAGAAGTCATTTGAGAAGATTAAAGGCAAGATATCCAATTTTTCTAGAATGTTTCTTACAAATATAAGGTAATTGTAGAAACCAATTCAGGTTCACTATTTTCGATCTACAATTACGAAAGTCTTGGTGATTGATTAAGACATGTTGGCTGCAGAATTTATTGTTTTAGCATTAAAATAGTTCCAGAATGACGTCAAATTAGATCAATCTTTGTATGAATTTCCAAATTACAGTTTAGCCTATCAAATTGAAGGGTAGGATGATTAGCAAGATTTGGATGAATTTTAATATAGAAGACAACCCTAAAGATACAAAAGTTTCGGATCTCTAGAGGACAAGATGAAATCAAGAAGAGAAAGTTTGAATGAAATAGATTATGATTAAAAACCAGTTTCACAGTTTGAAATCTCATTAGGAGAAGATAATGATGACAGAATTATTTAAATTGATTTAGAATCACCTATGCGTTATTATAAATCGGTTGATATTGTACCAATATTAGATTCTACATAATTAGATTTTGATTTACAAATGGCTAAAATTGTATATTAATAACATCCTAATCATATTCTTATTCTTATTGAGGAACCTATCAGCAAAGGAAGATTTCATATTAAGATACAACCGAAGTAGTTGATTGAAGGATTTATTTGTAGAATTAAGCATGAAAGCAAATAAGAAATACAGAACGACAGATTACAATTTAATTTTAAAATATCCTTGTATTCATATGAGCACAGAACCCATTAATCTAAAAATACCCATCAGCAAGTTACCGATACATTAATTAATACTCACCCAAAAATTTCAAAATGAAGCCAATCGCTCATTAAGATAATTTTAAGATAGTTATACAATTAATATCAACAAAGATACAATTTTCTCAAGAAGCATTAATAAGTCTTACAGATTTTTGTAAGAGGAGGGTAAATCTAATGAATACACAGATAAAGTGAGAACCTTATATTCCTATCAAGAGTTTTAGCTGCTAAAAATTGATAAATAATTTAGAAATAATGTTATTTTGGGAATTGATTATTTTGATTTATATTACTCTTACACTTAAGAGAGATAAAGAAAATTCACTTTGGGGAAATTTTGTAAATCAATTTCATAATATTTAATCGAAGAGCCAATTGTACAAAAAGATTATAGAAGATTACCTTTAAATAAGATATTAAATGTTGAATCGACAAAAGATTTTGAATTGATAATAAGTTATGAGAAAAGTCAAAACTACAAAAAATAGATTCATTTTGGAATAGATTTAAATTAAGAGAAATCTAAAATCGATCTTCAACAAAAAACTATCATGAATGCATACAATAAATTAGAATATTTAGTGGATTTATATATAAAATATAAATAACAATTATGAATTTATTCAATATTGATGACTCTTTAGCAACCCTTACTCAATTTAATCTAATACAACTAGCATATTTACAAAAAATGATAGGTTTTTCTAATAAAAGGAATTTATAAAAATTACACTCAAAATCAACATGGATATAAAATACAAAAATAAAGATAAAAGTTAAATTACTTCAACAAAGTTTGGAATGGATAAAATTGATGGCAATCAAAACAATAGGAAATTTTGAGGAATATAATCTTCTTTAGTTCAAAATAAATCAGAATAAAAATACTTAAATGTGTACTAATATCATTTTTAATTTCAATATAACAAAATACTTTTTAGCATAACATTATTTAATAATTTCACTATTTTAAGTTTAATTTCCTAAATGTGAAAAATTCAATTTCAAATTTACTAATTATTTTGATTAAGATACTCAACAAAAGAATAAGGATAAGTAGTATTGACTAGAATTATGACTCATTTTCGAAAAATTTAACTATGGTTAGGGGTTAGAAGTGAGACTTTGAAACTAATTAAATAATGATATTAGATGTTCCCTACTAAATTTATTTTATATTTGACTTATTTATCTCAAGCTATGAAAAATAGGAATAAAATCTAAATCAAATTACTACTTAGAATTAAAATAGTATCATTTCCTATCAAAACCTATGCATTTGAACTGGATATTATTAACTTAGATACAGAAAAGTTAATTGCAATAGATGTACTCATCTATTTTTTAAGGAAGCAAGGATTGAGTTGCGTTAATAGAGTATTTTTTCCAATATACATTTATTCGTACTATTTTAGTTAAATCTTAATAAGATTCATAATAATATTTTTGAAAACCATTGATTTTTTAATTATTATTTAATTTGAAAAAATTAATTATCTTATTATTATAATGTTGATTTAGAAATTATTTTATAGTCTTATTAATATATTGGGATTGTTAAGTAGATAAGAAATCTATTGAATCCAAGAAGCTCACGTTTAAAAATATTTAGTTTTGTGGATATATTTAATTTTTTTAAGTAGAAGTTCTAATTATATTAATTATATGTAATAATAAGCATAAGTTGGACAAGGACCATTATGGTAAGCTGTGCCTTAAGATTTTGTATTTCCCAAACCCAAATTTGAAGCCACAGTGACGAAATTGGGAAAGAAATAACATGAAAGACATTTGGTGATAACTGATAAACATATATTATTATTCAAAGTAATCGAAGTTATATTGAAAAGGATAAAAGTAAACATGTTCATAAATTACTCCCTTTGGATTTTACTACAAGATTTGAAATATTTAGAGATGCTCCTGTTTTGAAAGCCAATGCGTCTTAAAAAAAGTCAACTCCTAATACTCCTCACTCTAATAGGGTTGATATTGTCAAACCTGAAGATGTATAAACTCTAGGTGACATCTTGCATATAAGATTACAAAGTGAGAAAACAGAGAAATATTGGGACTTCACTGGTGATTAAGAAATTTTAAAAACATTTCGAAAATACTTTGGTTAGAAAATCAACTAGATGGGATTTCATCACATGTTCAAAGTCTTCAAAAAGATAGGAAAGGGCAATTTTGCAAGTGTTTATTTAGCAGAAAGAATAGAAGATGGACAATAAATGGCAATCAAGGCCTTTTCAAAAAGTGCAGTCTATGCGGAAGAGAATGGAAAGGTATTCAAATATTATGATAAATTTAAAGGAGGGTTTAATTAATGAAATAACAATAATGAGAGAACTTGATCATCCTAATATAATGAAATTATATGAGGTTTATGAAACTCAAAATTCCTTATATATGGGATTAGAATTATTATAAGGAGGATAATTATATGAGATAATGAAAAAGAAAGTAATCTTAACCAACAAACAAATCCAAGCAATAATGAAAGGACTTTTGGATGGATTGGCACATATGCATTCTAAGAATATAATGCATAGAGATCTAAAATTAGAAAACATTTTATTCAAAGAATAGAAGTATAATATTATTATTGATTAAACGAAATTAGCGATATCAATTCAGTTGTGATAGCCGATTTTGGTTTAGCCACTTTTGTAAATCTTCCAGTGTATCTCTATTGCAGATGCGGAACACCTGGATTTGTGGCTCCAGAGGTTATCAATATTACTGATATGTCAACAACCTATGATAGTGTTTGTGATATTTATTCTCTTGGATTAGTTTTCCATATTTTGTTAACTGGCAAACCAGGATTTCCTGGAAGAAGCTATAATACAATAGTCTAATAAAACAAAGAGGCGAAAATCAATTTCAAAAGTCCAGTGTTTGATGTTGTACCACCACCAGCTTTTGAATTGCTTAAACATATGTTGGAAGCATCTCCTAAGAAAAGAATTACAGCTAATGATGCCTTGAAATATGAATTCATAGCATTATGCGAGAAAACTGTCAATGTTTCTTAGGATGATGATGGAAATATTGGGGATATCGATGACAAACCTGGTCTTAATGTTAGAATCTAATAAATTAATGAACAGTATTTAAATAATGTACTCCTTTAGAGCAGCCAAATTTGATATGCTTAGAATTAATCAGTTAACGAATTCACCTATTAAATCTCCTGTTATGCAAGCGACTAATAGAATGAAGGAAGTGCAAAATAAAGATTAATAAATGATCATGAGAACACCAGTTATTACAGGAAGAACTGTTGCGTGTGAAGGTAATAAAGTATTCTTATAAAAGAATCTCCAAATATGAATTAGTTTGTCTCTCCGAGTGTTCAATTCAAAAAGCTACAATAAAAGTAATATTATTAGTATCGTTCTAGTTAATAAGAAGCACCTACTGGAAATGTTCTTTTGAAATATACTCAAAAGCCATAATAATAATAACAGACTAATAATGAGGACGAAAAAAAGGATTAAACAAATATTGCTAAATCAGTTAAAGCTGCATTAAGTAAGCATGTATGAAAATTATAAATAAATATATAATATTAAAATTCTATATTTCAAATATCTTTGATGTACTTAAAATTTGCTGGTTCTTTAAGTGCTCGAAGTAAGTTATACCTGTATTTTAAGTGCCATCCAGTATTTGCTATTCTTGAATTGTAAATGTAAGATACTGATTATTGTTTTAAGAAGTATTCACTATAAAATGTCAATTAAAAACATACCTAAAGATTCTAAATGCTTTATTAAATTATTGACTTTTCTCTTCATTAGTTTCAACCCAAAGATCTCTGAGTTGTTTGATGTTAGTCATCTGATTTTTCTTGTCTTTTAAAATGCTTACAAATTCTTCAAATTGCTCGTAATTCATTATTTTTAGTCCAATATCTTTATTTTATATAATATAGGTAATTATTGCTTTAGAAAAATTTTTTGTAATATTTTTCGTATCATTTACCTTTCCTTTTTTAATTCTATTCTTTAACTTAAAATATGAATTTTTGTGTTCTTTACTCTCTTATTCAACTTATTGAGGTTCAATAGATTCAGAATCATCATGTGAACCAAATAACTAAAAATCAGACATTCGAAAATGCTGACTCGATTACACTTGTTTAGGTTAGACTAAAAATCTATCTTAAGATTATAAGATTGGATTAGTTATTTAGTATTGCATCGCTGCAAATTATTCTTGTGGATAATTAGCATAAAACTAAGGATAAGGTTAATCTAATGATTTTTAAAATTGTTACATGATATGAGAGGAAATTAATTTCTTGGAAAAGACATGAAAGTACTATCATTTGACTCCTAAACTTTAAGCTATCTCAAGATTTTGTCATCCTAAAAAATAATCTTGAATTTTAGAATGAATAATACATATAATTGATTATTTTGACTTGGCAAAACAATTATATTTCCTTTCTTCTTATTATTTTAATGTCTAATGAGATTGTTTAGACACTTTATAAATTTATGTTAGATTATTTGGAGCTAATTTATCTACAGTATTATTATTCATTACCTTGATTCTCTAATCATTGCCGTCAAAACTGTAATATACATTTGAGAAAGAAAATGGCTATTGCATCATAGACATTTGAACACTGTCCTGACTTCTAAGATTGCTTATCATTGAGACTTTTTTAATGTAAAATTAAATATTAAAATATCGTAAATGCACTCCTAATAACTGGACATTTTTATGGATTAAATATCAAGTTTTGATATTAATGATTAATAATAACACACAAGATATTTTAATATTTATTAAACTAAATCTTATATTTTTACCTATAATTTTTCATCATTCTTACCCTTCTTCTTCCTTCTGTTTCTCTTGTGACTCCTCACTTTCTGATTATGAACTTTCGTGCTCCTATTAAACTTATTATTCCTTCAACTTTTAATATTGCGAATCAGTGAAATTAGTATATGCCCTCAACAATTTTTCCTTTAAATCCTTTTCCATTTCCTATTTTGCTTCTAATGAATATGATACATTAAACTTTTCAGTACTATATTCTTTTAGGGGATTCATACCCTCATTGGTTTTGGCTGGCTACCATAAAATATGAGGATACGTTCTAAAATGGTCATCAAATCAAATAACTTACTTGGTAATAAAAAAATCTCTCATTATTTTAATTTATAGTTCGAGTAATAGAACCTGGAATATATTTAATCTAATACCTATCTTTTATATTCATCAGCAGCCAAATCGCGCTCTAATTACTTCCTCTCATTAACTAACTAACTCTTCTTTTTCTGAAAATCAATCAAACTAAAAACATACATTTTAATCTTCCTTGAGAGTTTGCAAATCCTATTTGTCTCTATCATCTAATCGCTTACTTATTTCTATTTATTTATCCAACTATTTAAATTGGTTAGAAAAGTAGTACCTTCAATTTCTCACCCATCAAGTCTTGTTTTGCCCTTTAGAGATGATTCCCTAATAAGGATTTTGCTAAACGTCTATCCTTCTCTTTCATGGTAGTGGGTACTTGTTCATCAAGCTACTTTTACTTTTCTGCACGTTCTTCCTTTGCACCCACAAGATTTATTTGAAATACTTTCTATACAATCAAAACTAGAATAACTACCTATTCTTTTCCATCATTTAATTTTATCCTTTTGTGATCTAATTTTCTAATTAATATTGATAACTAATACTAAAATGAGAAGTTCTTAATCTCTTTAATAATAGTCTTCCTTTTTGTAAGACTATCCGCTTGCTTTTTGTGTAATTCATTCAATTCATTTCTTATATCTTCCACATTCATTGGAGATATATTTTTATATTATTTTTATTAATAAAATAAAGTCATTCATTTAGTGGAAGTACTTAACTTTTATTCCATTAATATTTCAGTGTCCCACTGGATAAAATCAAATTCAAACTCTAGTAATCCACCTATATTCCATGGTCAACTTTATTTCCTATTTGCCTATCCTAAACAAACCAATAATACTATAAACTATAAGTTATAAATTGATACATTTGTAATCAAATCCAAAAAGTTTAAAGAAAATGCTACTATTAATCCTAGAACTATCAAAAAAGCAATCACTATCCCCATTAATAAATCAATATGCAATCTCAATTCCTCTTTGATTAAAATAGACATTATGATAAGTGCAATTGTTATCAAAACTAGAATTGTCAAAACGAATGTTAGAAATAATAGCTTTTCATGTTTAATAGGATCCTTAAATGATTAAAGTAAATTAGTCTCTCTATATATTTTTATCTTAAAAACAAATTTACAAATTTCGCATCTAATAGGCTTGATGAATCTTCTTTGTTTCTCATCCATAAAATTATTCTCAATGTCTTTTTAGACACATTATTAATGTACATGTTACATAGATCCTTTGCAGAGACAAGGACGTATAAAATTATTAGGTGAATCAGTTTATCCACAATATTTACATTCTTTTTCATCCAATTTTTTTAGAACAATTATTGATGAATTTAATTTGCTTGTAGTTATATTAACATTCTCAGTAGTTAAATTTAGTTGTTTGTTCTTTAGAACTTCATTACTCTTTAAAATAAATTCTCTATTTAATTTTGATTACTTTTTAGGAGTGTTATAGATATGTGAATCGCTAGGATATAGGTTTAATTATTCAATATTTGCATCTGACTATTGCCGACTTTAGTAGTGTGCCAAATTTTGCGTCAAAATAGTGTTATTTTATGATTCTTATGCATATCTCTCTGTTATTTAAGTTGAAGTAGCATCCTCTTTCTTTTTCGTACTTTAATAACTTGAATAATTGTTTATAGTAACTATCATGAGTAATTGTTAATTTAAATTACAAATTTCCTTTTGATTAATTATTTCCCTTTATTCAATTACTTGCTCCAATTTCAGTCTGTTTTTAGTAAAAAATCGAAAAAAATAACATAAACATTAATTAAAAATTAAAAAAAATAATTAAATATAAGCTAAAACTATTTCAAGTAATATATATATAAGTATAATTGATACAAATAAGTGGTAGCATTTAGTAGGACTTAAGTAATCCTAAAATTATTAAGATACATTCCTTCTATTTTATAGATTTGATAATTCTTAATTATAGTTCCAAAATGAGCTATATTTGAAATCGTATTATATGTTAAGATTGAAATTCAACAGGATGACGATGAGGGTTCTAGACTAAAGATGCATAGTTGAGAATTATGAATAAATTTTAATTCTTAATTCTAATAATATTTAAAAAAAAAAAAATAAAATAAAAATAATGTCGAAATCATACCATTATCAGGTTTAGTATATTGCTAAAGATCAATAGGAATAAAAAAGAGATACATAACAATATCGAAAAGTAAAAAATAAACATTTAACAATAGTAACACAATAATAATTATGATGGATATTAAAGAAACAAAAAATATTACAACAATCGATAGCATTATTAAAATGATAATAAGAGAGTGGAATATGAATGTATAGATGATATTACTATTATTATTAGAGAAATATTAAATATGTTAGCCTCAAAATAATGTTTATGATGCAAAATTATTACTTTCAGCTTATCGAGAATATTTATAACCTCCTGAAGCCATAGTCCAGCTGATCAAAAAAATACCATAATTATTTGCAACCAAACCATTCAAGCCTATTCCTTAGAATTCGCATTGCAATCATAGTGATGAAGAAGAACCTCAATGGATGCAAGACACATAATTCAATGCCCCCTTTTAATTAAACGATATAGAAAATGAAATGCAATTAAAAAGAGAACAATATTAGAAGGATCATGGCACATTTGAAAAAAAATAGGAAGAGAAGAGATAAAAAATAGAAGAATCTTAAATAAAACAAGAAGCTATGGATATTATTGAAATAGAAAAATAGAAGTACAGAGAAAAAAGAGAATAAGAATTAAAATAATCAGAAGCTGCTATCGAAACTAAATTAAAACTTATTGAGCTCTTCTCTTCAAATAACGAACCATCATTAAATCCTGTCCAGATCAATCATTAAATATTAACAGTAGAGGAAATAGAAAAGAGGCAATTATCCAATTAAACTCAAACTACTAACCACAAACAAGAGGAGGTTTTGTAAGTTAAAGAAACATGTATTAGTGATGATGAATTAAATCAACTTTTGGGTCTTAACAACAATAATGAAAATTCACATTTTAAAACTGTGGATTAGCTGCCTACTGTTCTTTTTAAGAGCGAATAAATTAAAACTTCACCATTTTCTATTCAAGCTCAATTACACAACAAGGACATTAATGAACCATTGTGGTTTTATATTGATAAATCAAACAAAGTAATTTGGATTTTTTATTTAGACTTAAGGTGGGTTTCCAACCAAAAATATGGAATATTGGTATTCATAAAATTATTTTAAACCCAATCTCATGATTTCATGGGCTTCTCCTGGAAAATGGATATACTTGGAATAATTCTAAGCCAATTTAAATTTGATTTTATAAGGAACTTTGGATAAGTTAAAAGCCATGGATCCTTCAGTAGTTGATTAACCCAAAGCTTACAAGCCTGTATAATCTAATCAATCATCGTCTTGGAATAATCAATAGCACTACGTTTAAAATAACAACAACAGCAGATATTAATATAACAATTATAATAATTAATATGGATAATAAAGAAATAGAAACCCCTAAAACAGAACTGCCTTTTAGATCGGATAAAAGGATTCATAACAAATTCATTATAATTAATATTATTATTCAAATGGAAATTAAATTGAATAATCAGGTGAAGGATATATTCTTGATCCAAAGAGTTTTCCAACACCTGATGAAAAATGAGATTAATAAAATTAAAAAAAAATATTATTTATATTTTTCAAAATTTTCTATTGCTAAAATTTAATGATCTCTAAAAATGTGTTTGCTATGCTTTTTAGTAACTGCCACTTTACTTTAAATAATATTATATATCTTACTTTCTGTCCAGAATAATCTAAATAAGATAGTGATTAACGGAGAGGACTTTGATATATTCGACTAAAATATGAAAATCAAATACCTCTAATATATATCTGTAAAAAGACCAGAACTACTTACTTTTACATAATTTTTCAACTAAATTAATAACATTTGTTGTTTTAATTCTTCATTTTTTATTTCTTAATCTAGCCATAATTTCAATCTGAAGTTATCATCGCTATAATATGAAGGGGATTCATCAAATTTTCTTAAGTAACTCTTTCTTGAATAGTATAATAGATCCCTATTTTAGTACTCATAACGTTATCCTGCATTAAATCTAAAAGTTGGTTATGGTACTATCCATAATTGTCTTTCTAATAAAGAAATTTTTTTCTTTAAATATGAAATTTCAAATTCAATATCATTCCATGAGTAATTATATGAATGTTAATAATCCATATTATTATGACTTAACTCTTAAGATTAGACATCTTATCGATTATTTTGCAAACTATCCTTTACATCTTAATCATCCTTTACATCGTTTTATTAAGCTTACTCTAATTCTTCTTTTTGTTAGATTTATTCTATATCTTCTTATTATTTTTCTTAATTATAATTCTCTTCTTCTTTTTCTTTTTCTTCTTCATTTTCGTTATCATTTGCTTCTTCTTCTTCTTCTTCTTACTCATCTTAATCTTAATCCTCTTCGTTGTCTGTGTAAATTTTATCTAATAGAATTTATAGCGATTACTGCTATCCTTATATAATATGAACAAAATTCTATAGAACTTCTTCGCTAATGTCAGATCCCAACTATTATAACCATTTCTTCAAAGAATCTACTGTAATTTATTAACTATTATCATAAATATCCAATTAATTCAAATCAATTTTTTATTGTATTTCCTAATATAGTCTACGATATAATTTTATCATTTACAAATAATTTTATTTTATCTAATTCATGAATAATGATAATTATGTCTCAATTTCTTATGGTAATAGCATATCAACAGGAAGATCATAGCCTTTATGATTTAAGGCCTGTTCTTTCAATTCAGCATTCATCTTAGGCAATATGGCACTCTTAAAGCTAATTAATATAGTGAAAATTATACTCCTCAGAAGTTATAAAGCCATCAGAATCTTCATCTAAAACTCTGAATATGTAATCAAGTTGATCTTGAGTTACTTCAATATCATTATCGCATAAAAATTCAAAAATATTCTCAGGTTTTAGTCCTCCAGTTCTAGGCTAATCTAATCTTTTGTAAGCTAATAATTAAGTTAATCATTACTCGTGTGTGATTCAAAACTATCTATACTTGCTAATGACATCCTAATCTACTCTAGTTTTACCTCTGCCTCTACTGCCAACAAAATAAAGGAATAGAAATTCATTATATTATAAAATAAGATTAAATAAATTTTATTTAGTTTAACAAATAATTCAAAAAATAACATTCTAATGAATTGACAAAGTATTAATAAAATAGATTTTGAATATTTTTAAGGCATAAAAAAGTTATATTTTCATCATGACACAGAGACTGTCTTACTTTAAATAAGTTTCTTTTTGATTTAGGGAAGAAGTTAAGATCAGTTTAATATTAAGTCTGCTCCATTTAGGAACAACATAATGATATAATTTAGTATCTTTCCTGTTTTTCACATTGATTTTTAACATTCTATTCCTAAGATTGCAAAATATTTTACTACATTTTCATAGGATATACCTCTAATAGATTCTAAGTTTTAAATTCTTAATTTGTTTTATAAATTTTTAATAGATTTATTGAATATTCATTAAATGCCAACTATTAATTTAATTTCGTCTGGATTTTCTTAAGTAAATTATTTGTGGGTTCAAATATGTTGTCTAATCTTATTATTTTGTAACTAATTTAATTACATTAATTTTATCATTTTATTTGTAACGAGAAATTATTTATAAATACTCTCTTAAATTTGGACACTGTTTGCTCACCACTTATTCTGTGAAATATTAATATATTTTTTTAATGACCCTTTATATATTTTTGAATATTATTCAATACTATATCAGATAACCTAATAAGTTTGAGGACATTGTTTGAATACTTGAAGATGTCTATGCTGCAAAGTTAATTCATAAAAAATAAGTTTTAGTTAATCATTAATATTATCTGTAAATTATTAATTCAATATAAAATTCATTGCTATTATTATCTCTATTATTCACGAAGTTTTTCAATTTGCTTTCTCTAAAATTCAAGGTCTTATCTCTCCTACATTTTTTATGGTTAATAATATAACACAATCAAATATCTATAAAAGAATTAATATAAAAATAATAAATATACCTTCCAGCAACATTAAAACCAGATAAGTTATCAAAAGCGTATTTGACATCATAAATATCCTCGTAAACAACAAAAGCTGTTCCTTTTTTATCGCCATGAGTTCCTCTAAATAATCATTCAAATTGATTTACTTTCTAATTTATCTGATAGCTCCAAATTTTCCAAAGATATCATACATTTCTTCAGAAGTAATTTTATAAGGTAAATTTCTTACATAAAGTATTCTATTTACTTCAGCTGGCAATCTAATAACTTATCTAGACATAAAAATTTATGATTATTTAAATAAATATTTATTTTTTAGTAATAATAGTGTATATTTTTTATCAATTGTTTTGTACAAGCAATTCCTATTTTTCAAGGTATTGTTTCTTGTGTCTTAATACCTAGATTTCTTGCTTTATTATATTAATCTTAATTACAAAAGATTCATCACATATTTTATTAATTCAGGCTAATCCAACAAAAATAAAATTTGAAATTTAGCAATCAGTTATTCACTCATATTGTATGCTGATATTAGATTTAAATAATATTTATATATAATAAATTATAATGATTAACACGAAATTAAAAAATCCAAAATCGTTGACCTCCCTAGTAAACATATATTTAAAAAACATTCATAACCCATAGGAGCTAAAAGATTTAATTAATTAAATCTTGAGTGATGCTACTTTTTTGCCAATATATGGACTGAGTGATTAATAGAAACTAGAGCATAAAACTATCTTTACTAATATTCAACTCGGGAATAACTAGAACCTAGGGTAACTTATGAACCTAATTTAGCACTATACTTGGAATGACAGTTTTAGGAGTCATTGGATTCTTGGCACTTGGATTTACCTTTTTAGGTGCAATAGGTGGAGGAGCTATAGGGATTATTTTGGGTAGGTATTTGGGAAGAAAAATCTCAAAAAAAATAGCTACAAAAGGGATAAATTTAACCGAATTTGATATATTTATTATCAGGGTATAATGCTTATATAAATGGGTAAATTTTATATTTATAACTTAGGGGAAATTGATCATGATCAAATATACAAACAATATCAATTTACAAAGGTTTTGCATTCAAAGAATTTTAACTGAAATCAAACCTCTATTGCATTATAAGTATTTTGATGAGAAATTTCAAAAAGAGTCTTTGAATTTATTAGCTAAAATAAGAGAATGGCTGGCTAAAGAATAATCTATATATGCTTTATGTCTTAGTTATAAATTAACTAAGGAATATATTTAGATAATTGAATAAAAAATCATTTATTCGAAATTTAGTAATCATGAAGTAAATACTTATAATCATAATTTATTTTTTAGATTTCATACGTTTTAAATGAAACTGTTTCAGATGTTTTAATTCCTTTTTTAACATTATTTTAAGATTCAAAACAATGTGAAAAAAATGAAGTAATCCAAATGTTGATCTAAAGAATCAAAAAATTATAAGTAAACAAAATAGTACTCAAATGCTAACAAAGTTATTTTGATCAATAGCTTTCTATTGAATTTATCAAAATGTTTGCTGCCAAACTCAATTAAAAAGTTAAGATTGAAGATTTGGAAAAATTCTTATAAATACAAAATTATAGATAATAATAATAAAATAGAGAGTAAAATTCTCCAACAAAAAGCCAATAAAGAAGGAAAAGTTAAGGAGATATGGTATCCATAAATGAAGAAGTAGATGAAGAATTTCAAGCTCAGGTGCCATTAATCATGAAAAATCAAGTGAGAGCAAGGGCAAAATCATATGATGATAAAAATGATCAACAATAATCTTAGTTAATCATCCAATAGAATTAATAATAGCAATAGTAATAATAAAATATGCAATCATCTGATTAAATTGTTTTTGAAAATCAAGAAAAAAGAGGATCTTAATGTATTCCAGAAAACTTGATTTAATAGAGCCAATTGCAATAGATTTTACATTTGCAGATGGAACATTCATAACAGCACTCATAACTCCATAGAGTATCATAATAAGCCTAAGAGATTTAAATCAATTCAGATAGAACCTATTAACTCTCAGCTGAATTGGAAGAAAAGTTTAAATTATTAGTTGACCTTATTGAAGAACCTATAGATGGATGGGAAATCATATTAAAAAAAGAAAACTTGATCATTTACAAGACTTTCAAACCTGGAAATCCAGCTGTTTTTGTTAAAGGTCATAGTGATTTAATAGGAATTTCAATAGATGTCTTATTGAAGGCTATACATAATGAAAAGTACAGACAAAAATGGGATAAAATATTATTGAGTTTTTAAGTGTTAGAAAGAGAATCTGCTATTGTAGATATAATCTATTACTATGTTAAAAGTCCGCCTTGTGTGGATAATAGAGAGTTTTGCTAAAAAAGAATTTTGAAATACGATTTTCCAAAACCAGGACAAACCTGTCTTTTATATTTTAGCGTCGAACATAGTAAGGCCCCTAAATTCAAAGGGCATATAAGGGCTGAAACATTAATTTCTGGCTACATTTTAGAGACTATACCTGGGGGAAGCAGACTATATTTTTGTTCAAACAATGACGTTAAAGGGGATATTCCAAAGGTAAATTATATTACTCTATGAATAGAGCTTAGTAAACTATGTTGCTTCTAGAGCTCCTATAAGTTGGATTAATTCACTTAGAAAAGGATGTGAAGATTACAATAAGATTATGTAACAAATTTAATAATGAATAATTGAGAGTAGCAATTGATTTATATATCATATAACTATACTTTATAATAAAAAATAAATCAATAATAAGATAACAGTGCCTCCGATAAAAAATTCTTTGACAGTTATTGAACTTTCTTCTTCCACAATTATATTAGTACCAACATTATTATGATTATCATTAAATTAATTGTTTTAGTAATTTTCATTCAATTTTAACTTATCGAAATGCTTTTTAAAGATCTTAGTAAATTGTTCATTTTGTAAATTAAATTTTTTGGAATTTTAAGCCTATCTCTGTTTTTCTAAAGCACTACTAATAATCCCTCCAGTTGTATGTTCGTTGGTATACATGAATGAAATAATTGAGATCATCATAGATTCAATTGTTTAAGCAGAACTCCAGCTTTCTGGATGAAAATTAGTAAATGATCTTAGAATTAGTTATAACATTACAAACATACAGGTTTTCCAACTTCAAATCTCCCTGATGGAGTAATGAATTTTAAGGTAGGAGGTTTGAGTGGATAATCAGGAGGCATCTATAAAATTCCATGATAATATCCTCCTTCAAAGGCATCAGTCAAATTATAAATCACAAAATGCCATTCGAAAATATTTTGGGGATTCGGCTCACAAATGAATTAATTATTATTCAACTTTTACAATTTGTCATATTCTCTAAGTAATCTTTAAATCGATAATTGTTGGGCCATAATAAATAATAAATTAAATTATTTTATCTAAGAATAATATTAAATTTCTAATATTTTTATTACTCTTAAGAATTGGAACAATGCAGAAAAAAGGAAATACGATAAAATTAATATTATTATGTAGATTCTTGTTATAATAAATGAAAATTAAAATGCATTTGTTATGATAAAAAGTTGAAATCAGAATAAGAACTTTGTAGTGAAATAGAATCATAAGTAAATCCAAATGATAATTAATAAAAATATAAGGACTAGAGATGTGAAGCAATAACATGGATGAATAGATCAAACTTATCTCAATAATAATCGAAAATATATTTACAATTAAGAAAAGGTAGCTAAAAAACTCTGTAAATATTGAAGAAGTAGAAAGTTGTGGAGTATAATATGCTAGCAGATGAAAAATCTTATGAAGATTTAGAATTTACAAATTGTTCAGATGTTTTATTGAATTATTTAGTAGATAGCTTATTAAATTACTAGAATTAATTATTCATATATATTTATTAATTATTATTATATAAATATAAAATATAAAAGTAAATATGTTTTGAAGGAAAATAATTGTGACAATTTCATTCTTTTTATAATTCAAATAAATTCTCAAAAGATTATTTATTGTATTCTCTAAGATTTTTAAATATACTCTCTCTTTTTATATGGTTAAGATTAAGTATTTTTAAGTAATAAAACTAATTACTTTATTTAAAAGAATCCATTTTAAATTTTGCCCTTAGTTGTTCAACTAAATCATAGTAAAGAAGCTGTTTTAAAATTTAATTAAAGCAAAACCGATCATAGTTTAATAGAAGTAACCTCTGACCAACAATAATTTGATTTCTTAAATTCAACTATATAATATAAAATCTCATAATTAGCCATAAATTAACTTTGAAATTATTCTAGGATACTTTTTAATATTTTCAGAAAATAAAGCTTAGTGATTTTTTGAATTGGTTGAATCATACAGCTAACCTTTATAGAATTAGTTAATAAATACAATGATAACTCGCTTACTGATATCTTCAATTCAAAATTTTTTTCGCTTTTTTGCTCTGCTAAATCTTAGCGATTATTATATATATGATTATATCCTTCTCTTTAATTTACAATACTTTGATTTCAGACTGGCATTCTTTATTTAGACTAATTTTTAGGAAGTGTAACTTATTGAAATGAGGAAATCTCATGAAATCTTTTTAAGTCTTAAATGGCGAAATCATTTAACTTATTCACTTTTGCATAATTCTTATGGTATAGTTTTGCAAATTCTTTTATAATAAAAGCAACTCTTCTTTTTGTAATTATGATTTAGGTTTAGCAAAAATATATTGATTGAAATAGATCACAAGCATTTAAAATTATAATGTAAAAAATGAATTAGTTTAGAAATTTCTTCTTCGATTAAGTAAAATTCTAAATTCATAGAAGATCCTTAAGTTTTAATGTCTTTTCTAAATTGACTTTTTTAGTTTCAAGCTTTTTCATTTCCTATTTTCAAGCGATTCAGAATATTTTTAAATAATTTTTATATCTATTTCTTTTTTGATAATTCTTAAAGTTCGGAATCTGTCTCTCTTTCAAAGGCAAACAATAGATTTAGTGTTCAGGGATACTATTACCAAATTTTACTAAGAAGGACTTTTTATATTTAATAATAGGATTAATCTAAAATTGAATATATTAATATTTATCACAATTAATAAAATGCTTAGACCTTAATGAATGAAAGAAGTTTATGCCCAGTAAAGGAGGTACCATTTTTATTGTAAAATTTTATTTTAGTTACAAGTTGATCAGGAAATCTAACCTCCTTTATAGATTAAGCAAAACCATTATAAATTTGGGTCTCAGTTATTCTATCAGATCCAATAATAAAAATTTATAAATCAGCTATTCTGTTGTCCCAATCCCATATTCTAAACCTCACTAAATTGATTTCATATGGTTAAGTTAACTCAATAATTAAAGACAAATATAAAACAAAATATACGTGACCAACATAATAATCGGAATCAGTATAAAAGTAGATTCTATCCCTTAAAGGACTTGCAAGAGAGTCAGGATAGTAAAAATTAATAGTTCTAGCTGTTGAGATGATTGCTCCATTTTTTTCAGAAGCTACATCCAAATAGTTCCCTCGAATTTTTGCCTCGACTTGTTAAATGAATTGAGTATTTTCAATGCAATTAGCAAAAGCAAATCTATTTTAGAACTATTAGCTCCAAATTAGCATAATAATGTAAATGTTCATTAATTTAAATATTTTTGATATTTTATATATGATTGAAAACAAAATGATTTAATTCTTAAAAGTTAAATTCTATTTATGAACCCTAAAATATAATACAGATGGCGATTTGAATACCTTTTGTACATAAAATTAAGGAGTCTTGATTATACCAAAAGATTGTCTAAATTGGAAATGATATTAAACCTAAAAATTATTGGTAATGTATACAAGTTTAATTTGATAAATTTCTTTGTCGTTTTTTAATCTCATAACACGAAAACAACTACCTGATATACCTTCATGAATTAACTTTATTGTTTTTTGACCTCTACTTTTAAATATTTGTTATTTCTATATTTGAGGAGCTTAACTTTATTTAAACAAACTTTATTATTTGAATAAAATTTATACAGGCTATTTAATAATAAATTTTGTTAACATTAACTAAATAGAAGATCAGATTCAAATTTTAACCCATATCTAAATTAAAAACCTTCAATACAATTATTTTTAATAGGTATTTTACTCATTAATTTTGTTGTTTTACTCTCTTAATGGAAATCAAACCAAAAATATTGTAAAAATCATAAAAGAGTTGAAAAGACAGTTTCATTCTTCCCTTCACAAGTGCTGTTATTGAAATAAAATTTATTTAAATAGAGTTTGTTCATAAGCCAGAATCTATTGTAATTTTTGGTAAAATATCCATTCGCCAATCAAAATAATTCTAATCTTTTTAAATTGAATAAGAGTTTAAGAAGACAAGGTAATTATGTGGACATTTAAATTTTTTTAAATTAATTAATCTCTTTTGACTTAAAGTAAAATCTTAGATATTGAATATTTATTTTTGTTAAATACTTATTGAGAAAATAAATTTTAATCAGTAAGAATCAAAATAATAATGGAAAATGGGTAAATTCATCAATTACTTTCATTCTGTTTATAATATGTTAAACTTACTCATCTTAATTTAACACTTTTATTGTAATTCTTAATCAGAATGATAATTTAAGCATTATTAATATTCTTCAAGCTTGATTGCAATTAACTCTAAATATATATTTAAATTAATTTTATGTCATCTGATAATTTATTATTTTTCAAAGAGTATGAAGTCATTCTTTGGAATTGTGATTAAGATCCGCCTAAATAATTTAAATCTAAATTCGAAATTACATGCACAAATGGTGAAGAAATTATGTACAGTTTTGAAGGAGCTATTTTAAGAGTGTATGATAATATTTATTTCAAATTAGAGATAAAATTTATGCAGGATTTAAGGAGCCAGAAGTATTGACCAATTTGGAGTAAATAAAAAATCTACAATGGATAGGATAATATGATTAAAATAACTTAAAGATTGGCCCATGGCAAGTCTTGTGGAAATATGAATAATTAACAAATGTAGGAGGAGAATACTCAAAGCAAGGAAATAAATAAGGATAATGGAAAGAGATTATATAGAATTATTGGAGGTAAGTTTGATATTATGTCTAATTAGTAAAGCATA